CTACTGTCTTTCAGTCACACATCCCTGATCTTAGGGTAGGAGTGATCGAACATTTGGCTTTCTCGAAAGGGAAAAATATCTCAGAGGTCCCATGTGCAAGCTGCGCACTTTAAGTTCTCTTGGTGGTTCTAAAATCGATAAGAGTAGGCTTCGGCCGCCACCAAGGCATAATTCAAAATTAATTCATACCAAAACCTGACAATACTGTAGTCAGTATAAAGACATAAAGAGTACCTTCGAAATCTAAACGTGGCTGCCTGAAAGCAAGGGGCCCTACAAAGTATGAAAAGCGGTCACATATGTAAAAATCAATTGTACTGCAGGTTGAAAAACCAGCAGTCGACTTCCCCTAAGGTCTAGAGGAGGGAGAAGTAGAAGTAGGAGGAGGGGGAGGGGGAGGAGGAGGAGGAGGGGGAGGAGGAGCCATTTTTGGGGGTGGTCTGGGATGGAATAAACAAAATCGTCCGGTGCAAGTGTTGGAATGTCATTTCTTAACTTTAAGTCCAAGTTTTTCTGGTATTTGTAGAAATCTAGTGTGCACTCTGGAATCCTAGCAGCTTTGACGTCTGATGCACTTACAATGCACTGGGTGACCTTGATACATAACTTTAGATTGAAAATAGACAATTGAAAAACAAAGTTTGCTCAAGTTTTACTATAATAATATTATGGCATCAAATCACGTTCCACGTGAGCCACATTGCTTATTTTGATATGCTGATTTCGAAAATGAAAAGAGTTTTTTGCTGTGATAATTATTTTGAAAATTCTGCGCGCAAAGTTTAACCCCGCGTGGCGGCAAACTTCAAAGGAATTTTGCGTCACAGCCTCCCACTTGTCACTTCACACTGGGGGGGGGGGGGGGAGGGTTCTTTTATTAGATCAGTTAAAAGTGACTGTTGTCTGTCCTCTTTATGATAGGAAAATACTACAAGATGCAATCTTGGTAGAATCTATATAAAATACTTCTTTTTTGTGATCTTCTAAATCCAGCAAGAAAAACAGTCACATGCGACTTATTTTGTTAATTTGGACACGCTGGTTCCGAATTTGATATTATTTTTACGATTAGACTTAGTTTTAAATGTTTATTAAAAAATCTTTCTAGCGTGCCGCGGGTGTATCGATACCATCACCGATACCATCACAACGAGGTATTCGCTTAAGCCAGTCGCTGTTCCCAGGACAAAGTTTTTCCTGTTTTTAAAAATAGAGTCGCTGTTCCCCGGTGCTCCGATTGCTACAATAGAAGACAGGATAGACAAATCACCACACAGAAAGTGCAAGCATTAGTTGCAATCTTGTATCTTGCGTTCGCAGTAAAAGAGACAAACAATATAATTTTCAGGGTCTTTTAATTCTTTGAGACTGGAGTTTCAAATTTTTAAGACCAGTGTTACTCTTTTTGTAGTGTGTAGTAAGGCTCTAAGTTATCTTCCTGATGGCAGGGAAATCAGATCCAATTTGATAGGCTTAAAGTTAAAAAAATGTCTCTTTCTGCACTGTTTCATCTTCAAAGCTAATCTCTTTTTCTTTTATCAGCAACCGTACTGTTAGTCTTAGACTCTGTTTTGGTGCATGTAGAAAATGGGAGGGAGGGAGGGAGGGAGGGAGGGAGGGAGGGAGGGAGAGAGAGAGGGAGGGAGGGAGAGAGAGAGAGAGAGAATGAGTGTATGTATATGTGTGTGTGTTGGGGGGTGGGGGGATGGGGGTTAAGTTTATGCTGCTTTTCTATTATTGTAGACCATTAACTCTTTTTCTCCGGCAAGCCGCTCCCAGCGGCTCGCTTTTGGAATTACTGTAGTCCTTTACGGCGACTTCGCCATCATATTACTTTTCAGCCACTGCCAAAAACAGGTCTCTCATACCGGAAGTTCATTCATTAGATGAAAAAAATAGGTTTACTAGTTTCGATTTAATGACCCAATTAAATGAAGTTTTTGTCATTTTTAGATTTGGCACCAAAAAAGGGCCCCGGCGTTGTGGGTTTTCCCCCCTCAGAGATAAAGAGTTAATTAATGTACTTGATTATATTTTGGTTAGTGCATAGGCCTACAGTTTTTTCTTCTCTGAGTATTCGTCCCAACCCTTCTCTTCCTTCTTTTTCTTCTTGTAAGTCGAGTATCAAACTTTTTCAGTAGTTGTTGTCTCTATATGTGATCTTATGTCTTTAAAATTAATGCTGATTTATGACATCATAGACTGTCCCAGTGCAGAATAAAATGGCTCTGTTAAAAAAGTGCAAAATAGAAATGTTGCTGGAACTGTATGGTGCACAACTGCATGTCGATGTTATCAGCCTGAACTGGCATTTGGAGGGGGAGGTGGTGGTACTAGTGGCGCCCTCAGTGCTTTTTTGTCGTATCTCCATTTTTTCAAACATTGAAAATGTGACTTCTTCTTCTTAAGCTCACTCTTTGTCATGAACTGTTTTCTCTGTTAAAAAAATGGAGATATGACAGAAAGCACTGAGGTCGCGTAGTATGCTTGAAGAGATCACAAGACGTCAGTATGGACAAAGGAGAACTGTTTAGAGCCTTATCCTAGTCACAGTACATTGCATATATGTATATTACTTCATAGTTCGGAGGACACTCTCGTAAAAACACTGACATTAAAAAAAACCTTCCCCCTCCCACCCCCCACCCATAGGAACCCCCCCCGCCCCACAAAAATCTGCTGCAAGATACTTCCAGTCGGAGTTCTGCTGTCCTACACTAGTTATAATAAGACTCGGTCTAAGTCATAAAAAGGTGTTAACGTTGATTTACTTCATTTACCTGGAGATGTGAGCAAAACGTGCTGGGGCCCAAAATGGAACTATATCCTGGCGGGTTGGGGAGCGAATGCTTTAGAATTGACTGAGGGCAACATGATGAGTACTGTCCTTTTACCCTCATCCCAGTATATAGCTCAGAAAGAATAGTTTTGTACTTTTTTCCTCTTCTCAGGCTTCGGAGTTCCAAGCTGCAGATGATTCCAGAAAGACAAGGCTCAAATGGCAATATTTGTTTGAACGGATGAAAGGTGTAGTGAAGGTGAGTTATTATACTTCTGTATTTCATTTTTTTGACATTTTCTATTCGAACATATTTTTGAGAGATCACTTTGCAACTATGGTATTTGTCTTTTCTCTGCAATTGTTTTTTTGTTCATAAAGTTGTGGGGCAAAAAAAAAAGAATTAAAATTTTTTGGGTTCACCCTGTTGTGTAAAGCAGTGTCAAATGGTGTTGCACATTTTACCTTCAACAGCTGCAATATATCTTTATTTTCATCTTTGCAATTGCTATCTTCTTCTAAAGATGACATATAATTTTCAGTTTCTATAGATGTTTAGATCTGCTATTTTTATCAGATTTCAGGCTCCAACTCGGCAAAGTCTGGAAAAAGTTTTGTGCGTGTCATGGCATTGGAGAAAATTCCGCATTCTGAGGTCTTAAGCGGACGCTATTCTGCCTCCTGAATGGATAGCAGGTAAAAGTTTGATTCTGAGCAACATAACAAATGTTGGTTACCTGATTTGTTCAATATTTATTTGAAACAATGTTTTGCACATCCCTTGCTGAGCTTTTTTCCCCTGCTAGACCAAATCCAGTAATCTCTTAAAAATTGAGTGGTAAAAGAAAAAAAAAGTATGAGAACTTTCCATTTAAAACGTTTTCAGGCCTGTTAGATAATGTGTCAGACCTATGTGAATTTACTTTTTTTTTGGGCATAAGTCACATGATCTTGGTGGCAATCTTGGAAAATGTCAGACTAAAGTAAAGTTTTGTAAGGAGAAAGAAAAAAATCTTTGTGGAATTCTTCCAATCATTCAATTTTATAGAATGGACTCTCAGTGGAAGAGAACTGATTAACTCTCTGAACACGGGATGATGCGCACAGCATTAGTCGGGAAATCTCGCAACCACGGAAGAATGCTATCGACGTTTATCAGTATTTCTCTCCCATTATTTCTTCCTAACCTTTTGCTCAGCAAAGATAGTCATACATTCATTATTCCTATATTTTCATCTTCTGCATGCAATTAACTTTGATTTGATGTATGACACGACTATGTTCCTATACATTCTGGGCCTAGAACAGCAGTTTACATAGGCCACATGTTGACCAGAAATATTTCACCCTCAAAGAATTAATAAAAAATGTACTAAAAACTCTGAGTTCCAAAATTTATATATGCAACATGTAAAGCAGAAGGAAACTGGAAACATCAAAGACATTGTATTGTTCACATCAAATTGATGTCTAAATTGAAAAGCTTTTTCATCCGACATACTTTGGTACTGACTCTTTATGCACCTGTGTTTGTCAAAAAACTGTGATTGTTAATGTTGTTATTATTTTTGCTACTGCTGTCCTTGCTATTACTACTACTCTTGAGTTTTCCGTTCTGTAAATACCGGCTGATCAAGAGCCTATAACTGCTAATCTAAGATCAGGCGTTCAGTATTTTTAAAAGAGTTCCTAGAAAAGAAGTAAAAAATTAGCAGAAAGATCGTTTGCCCACCTTGCTCCATCACTTTGGAACTCTCTTCCTCAACCCTTGAGACATACAACATCAGAGTCTAAATTTAAAATAACTGTAAAGACACATTTAATGACATCATTTTTATGTTAGTAGATTCGTGTTCGATACAATGTTATGAAAATGACTATGTATCCATTTATGTATTTTACGAATTGCATTGTGTATATTATTTTATTATGTGAATTTGTATGTGCTCATTTCGTAATGATGTGTAAGCGTGCACGTATGATAAGCAAGTATGTGTGTGTGTGTGTGTGTGTGTGTGCGTGTGTGTGTGTGTGCGTGCGTGCGTGCGTGCGTGCGTGCGTGCGTGCGTGCGTGCGTGCGTGCGTGTGTTTGACGTGCATGTGTGTGCACGTGTCCATGAATGTGTGTGTTTGTGTGTATGTGTGTGTTTTTGTGTGTATGTGTGTGCATGAATATTGTTCGTACATTCATTTATGTAAAGCGACTAGAGCTGTGTTCACATAGGAGTGGGCGCTATAGAAATGATCTACGTTATTATTATTATTATTATTATTATTATTATTATTATCTATCTCGTAAACATGCTGTTGTCACTTATCATTAACAACTTCTGCCCCACCTCTGCAACCCCCCCCCCCCTTTCCTTCAATACACCTTGATTGCCCTGCTGCAATCTGTGTTAGGCAGCTCTGATTGAACATCTCTTTTTTTTTTCTTTTTTTTTTTGGGTAATGTTGGTGTTTTTTACGCCTCCATCGACACAATTTGGATCATTCAGAAGGTGGGTTTTCAACTCTGCCTGTCAGGGCTAACCAAGGCTGACAGTATGCCATAGATGCTGGTTTGACATCCCTCTCACCAGTTCCTCTATACATTCACAGAACCTCTCATTTTCAGGAGGTTCAGAAAAAGGCTGAAATTCAATGTTTTATCAAAGAAAAAACACCCAATAGTGGTGAAAAAATTCCTGTAGTATGCATAGCCACTGTAGATCAACTTACGCAACTAGCCAAATTCATTGTTCCATCTGCAATTTATAGCCTACTGTTCACATTTTTAACGTTTCCTTGTTACCATGATTATAGTCATTATTGGCAAGGGAGGAGCATGAAAAGTCCTGGCGACTTTAGTAGTTAAATTGGCAAGTAAATTGTTACAGTGCTTTTGAACTGTCTTTTATTTACGCCATTTGTGTTTGAAAATTACAGTTTAAGATATACTGAGTAAAGAGTATTTTGTGACAGCTGTATTGGGGTTGAAAACTATTTATTCCTTCCTTCATGTGAAATATGAAATAGTGTGTTGGAGAAGAACTGCCATCTTTGTTGAGAAAAGTATCCTGTTCATTTACTTGTTATAGATATTTAATGTAGAGAAGTGGACACAGAAGGATCATTATTTGGTCGCTTTTAAGGACGAGCGGGCTAACCCGGATTTCGGGGGTTTCCAGAAATCTTGACCAACGCCAAAAGTGGGCATTGCCCTACCTATAGGACAAGTTTGGTTTCATAGGTGTGTATACCTGTTTGGTTATAGAGCAAACTCTTCTTGTTTTTTAAAGAAACTGAACAAGGGGCAAAAACTTTGCCTTCAATTTTCTCAAAACAGAATTTTTTCGGGATAGCCCCCTTGTGCTTAAAAGCAACCATTTGTGCTTGGTTTGACCTGACTAGTCTAAAATTTTTTTTTATGTAGTCTAGGTGTCTTTTACTTTTACGCCCCCATCAACTCATCATCATCATCATTGCCTTTCTCACCCTGCACCAGGGTATAAGGCCACGGACAAACACCTTCCACCTTTCTCTATCCTGGGCTAGCCTTTTGAGGTTATTCCATGTTTTCCCACTTTTCTGTACATCGATTTCTGCGATTCTTCTCCAGGTTCCACGCGGTCTTCCCCTTGATCTCTTACCCTGTCAACACGGTCTAGATTATTTAGGAGGCCAGCTTCTGACCCTGCCTGTTAAGGCCAGCCCGCGCTGAGAGGGACACATCCCAGCGGAAAGCATGATACTCTATAAAAAGTTTTCCCTACTCAAAATCGAATAAAATTTGGGTTTCCTGTGTGCGGAAAGCTAAGTGCTTAACCCCTACTCCAGATACTGGCTTGGTATGACATGACTTGTCTGTTCAGCACAGAATGAAAGAAACTTGGGCACAGTAAGTTGGAGGAGAGACTATACTTTGTTGTAATCTGACGTTAAATCTCAAATACTGATTGTCATCTCAATGAGTGTGAGTTGATTTCATGTTTTGTCTACAGATGCTATAGTGACAAACCATCAACCATATACTACAGATCAGTGTCATGCAACTTCTACATTGACGCTCTTTGTGCAAAAAAAGGCAGAATCTACATCATCACCATGGATCTTTTCAACGGGTGCTGATCGGACTTAAAATCTTTTTTTTTTTTTTGGTTGATGTTTGAATTAAAACTTGTATTTATATCAGTGAAAAAAAGCTGGTTGTTTTTTAAATTTCTTTTGTGTACTTTGTTTTAGTAGAAACCTTGATGAAATGTTGCCTTTTGTGTCTGTTGGACTTATCTTAAAATGCCTGTTTTTATTGCTTTTACTCAGAAAAAAAATTGAATTGAGTATCTAGAGCAGGGGAAAACAAACTACTGTCTTCTTTGCCAGACTTTCCAGCATATATGCATGTTATATCTTATTGCTGTGCTGTCACTGATGGTGAACAGTAGACTTTCTAAAAGTGTTCTGAGTATAGTTGGATCTAGACTATCAAAACAAGGGATGAATTGACACTACAATACAGCATGGACATAGGGAAATCAGTAGAAGCAGAAATCTTTTCATTATGTAAATGTTTATAATACAAATATACACATGAGAAAAAATTGGGGACCTGAAAGTTTCTTCACTGTGCTTTGTTCGCTGTGTGCATAGAAGACTACTTCGGTCTGAGGTGTGTCTGACAAAACACAGGTTCCACATATATAATAGGTCCTGCCACAAACGAGTAGGTATAACTTTATGGTTTTACTTAAAGGCAAATCTTTTTTTCTGCTGGCGATCAGTGTTGGCATACTCTTAGTTTTAGTAAGAGTTTTAGTGAACAGCACTTGCAACACAATAAGGTCATATAAGTGCCAAAGATCAGAGGCGTTACAAGAGTGACCTGCTATCTATGGGAGTTTGAACTTGGGATATGTTATCAAAATGTCTTTGAACGTGATGCCAAAAGATTCAATTTTTATCACTTATGGATTTTTGAAAAGGTCTCGTTTGGACATAGATCTATTTCTTAAACAACCTTCAGTCTTGTAGTCCCTGACAACTCATGTGTATGTTTATGGTCAGCAGCTGTGCAGTGGTACCTCTACCCTAATTAAGTTTGGGTACAGAGAAGCACTTCAACACAATGAGGGTCATTTAGGGTAAGGAAAAAGTAAGACAGAAACACGGACTACCAAAAGTAGGACCTACCAGGAGTGCCCTCCAGCCATTCCATTACCCTTGCTTTAGTTTCAAGACAAGTAATTAGAGTCAAAATTGGCTACCAATTGTCGAGGAGAAAAATGGCCATCTGAGACATGAGGACGTCTTAGTGTCATTATGATGTAAAATAAAATACTTGGAGGAGGGGGGAGGGAATGAAAAGTGGTTGTCTGCACAGGTGATTGTCATATCGTCGCCTCAGAACTATTTAATTTTGTCCAAGACCACTTTGGACAAATAGTTCTGAGGCAACGATATTGGTGGCTGTAAGAGCTTGTTTTAATAGGGAGATTTGCGGCACTTGCAACACAAGGTCAAATATATATATATAAGTGCTGAAGATTAGGTATTACAAAAGAGTACCAAACAAAAAAGGAGAGATAAGGATAACAGATGTTTGATAGGAAGAAAGGAGGAAACCACACCAGAGTACCTGTCAATCACCAGCATGTGGTCATATTTAGGCACGAGGACATCTTACATATACAGTCAAACCTCGTTATATACTGCCCTGTTAGTTATACTGCTAGCTCCACTTACCACCAGGTTTTGCCAATGTACGAAAAGGAACGCCAAGAAAACAGTCTTTGTGTCTTGTCACCACAATCCCCCAATTGTCTTGAGTCTTATGGTACTATCAAACCAATGTAAATTTGCCTCGCTATACCGCCAGTAAACTGGCTGCAAGAGGTATACTACACACAGTACATGCCCATATACTTCTCTGCAAGTTCGGACTATTTTTAGCTTTGTTCCCAATTTGCTCCTGATTTGTGCCGATTATGAAAATACTTTTAGTAAGCTTTGGTAAATATTGTGGCCTCGGTGGCGTAGTGGTTAGGCTCTCAGACTCGCAACCGTAAGGTCAAGGGTTCGAATTGCATCAGGGACCCCACGTTGTGTCCTTGGGAAAGGCAGTTTACACGAATTTTCCTCACTTCACCCAGGTGGGAATGGGTACCCGGCTATAGACAGCCAAAGATCTTGTCAGTTTGTTAGTGTTTGAGCGCTAAATCAGCTGCTTGCACTGTGTGCTTCCCGGGAATGTTTCGGAGTGTTCTATGGTCTGCTGGGGTAACAATATAGTGTAAAGCGCATAGAGCCTGCTGTTGAGCAGGGATATGCGTTATACAAATGCTATTTATTATTATTATTATTATTTAAAAAAGAAACAAGTGAAATTTTAAAGCTGCCTGAAGAAATTTCAATTTCCAAGAAACTACGTCACCTTGGCCTGGCAGCAAGATATGTTGTTGAATAGCTTGATGACCATAAAGTTGGCGGGCATTCAAGAGGCTTTTATATTGTAAGGATACGCTCAAGTCTACCCGAAAGGTCTGAGACGGCCCGCAGACTGACCGGTATCGGGTAAAAACACTAGTCTATAGGGCTCTTGACACATAGCTTAGCTTCTGATCCGCCAGAAATTTTCAATTTGAATTTATGTAAAGTTAAGCTGGAGCTGTACATGTAGGCCTATTAGGTTTCTATTTGTTTTTCCCTCAATGCATGGGAATTGTTCAGTTCAAACCTAGATGAGTCAAGACAGGCCAGAGTTCGTCTCTATCTCTACCAGTCTACCACTAGCCATGATGGCAATGTTGCTATTCCGTTATACTACCAGCCACATAACAAGGTTTGACTAATGTAAAAAAAACCCCCCAAAACTTGAGGGGAGAATGAAAAGTGGTTGCTTGTAAAGGCAATAAGGTTTTATACAGGTGGCTGTTAGAACAGTTTTGACGAAATATTGTATTCACAAAATCACATCTAAAAGTCCATGTTTACATAGACATAGACTAACAGTAATCAATAATATTTTTATAGAGGCACCAGCCATCCATATCCAGGTGGCTTTTAGCTAAGACAAACAATCAAAGGAAACAAGACAACAAGGGTTTTTAAAAAATGCATAAAGCACTGTATTAAATTGCACTGAGTATCGACGTACTATGAGTGTGAAAATGTTCATTTATAAGAAGGCACAATGCTGAGGAATGCATAAAATGGCTCATGTGTGATGCAATGGGTGAGAATTTGATCTCCGTATAGCTGTTGATATAGTCACAATGTTGTCACCTTGTTTATATTGCAGTAAAAAATAATAACAAACAGTACATAAAAAATAAAGCATTTGCATGGAGCAATTAACATTTTCATGAAAGGAAAATGATTGTAAGAAATAGTAAAGTCAAAAGAAAAAAAATAGTACACAAAGCACAATACTTCAAAATGAAATTTTCACGCGTATAGAAAAACTGGAAAAACTTAGTTTATGTATTGATAATGTATGAATGTAATTGATGTACGCAAGTTTGTTTAAAGATATGATGGCAAAGAACAGATTGCAGTGACTCACATAGAAGTAGAAGGTGGCAAAAAAACTGATCATTAGGCTTACAAACAACTTTCATTTGGAGAATGCTCTATTACAATGTGAAGTACATGTATGCACAATTGATAGATGCTCTCCATTCGAACAAACCAATTATTGGCGTCCAAATATAGCCAAAACATGAAAATGTAGTCCATTTCATTAAACCTGCATTCATAGCTACTCGTGATAACATCTGGTTGCTTTCTCTTCTTTAATTAGGCTTTGAATGAAGTAAAACCATAAGCTGAAAAAGAAAGATGAACTTAGGAAAGAAGCTCACTCATTTGTTCTTTCATTCCAGAGTTTCATGAATGTTGCCCACTATACGACTACATGAACTGACGAGAAATAGCAAAATATCTAAGGAACTGCATTCCATGTCCTTAACGACTAAGAACCTTCGCGAGCAATTACAAATATATAATAATAAATTTGAAATATGATTTTAAAATTATTGTCTACCACCTCCCCAGAGGCCTCTGCTTTTCACTCTGTCCCTTCATCTCATCATTCTTTTGCCTCTAGTTTTTCTTCTTTTCACTTATTGTGCACATTAGATTATTATTGCTATTTCTTATCTTATACTGTCATCTTCTTAGTATTATTACGGTTGGTACTATGAATGTAAGGATGAAGGTGATTAATATCAACTCATTTGTCATAATATTCAGAGATGAAAAATTGTGAAATATGATAAGATAAAGAGGATTTCTTTGCAGCTAAAACTGAAGGAGGCAAGATGGGTTTATAGCTGAACAAAACAATCCCTAAAATCATTATCATTAAAAGGAAAAAAAAAAAATCAAGATTCAAATATGTGTTCATAAGGAATTAAATTGCTACTAAATGCTTCTAACAAACTAGTAATCACCCTGCTCAGAGACAAGAACCAAGCCAACTGGCAAATGATAGCTATTCAATAAAATGGGACGCTAGATGTGAAATCAGCTGCAGAAAAATTAAGTGCTGAGACTTTAGAAAATAAAGTTACTGACAAATGGTACACCCCTTCCTCAATCTGTTGTGGTCATTAGAGAAAAAGCTATCTTGAGTTTTTTTAAACGAAAAAAACAAACATGTTAAGTGTTTTACACCCCCATCAGCACAATTTAGATCTTTTAGGAGGTGGGTTCCACTTTGCCAGTCAGGGCCAGCCTGGGCTGAGGGGGATAGAACATAACAGCAGAAAGATGGAGATACTTGACAAAAATTTTCATCATTTGGGAATTGAACTCAGGTCTCTTATGTGGGATGGTGAAGTGCTTAACTGTGGTACCACAAATGTTGGTCTTCTGAGTTCCTGAATTTTTATTTGATAACTTTTCTTTAAGATTTATTCCGACTAAAGGATTAGACTACACTAAAATGATGCATACTACTATAGAAGCTTCTTGCATAAACAGCTCGTGCATACTGAGTGTGTGAAGTGAGTAAACAACTGCATAGAAATAAATGCAAAGGTCAACAACATTCAATATGAAAAGCATATATGTGAACAAAAAAATAATGTTTACTCAGTTCAAATCCTGGTTTATGCATAAAAAGAAATAAAGGTCTATCTATCACTTCAGTTGTATGGTAAAAAAAGCAACAACAAAAAATGTAAGAGTTTTGAAAGAATAATATACCAGTACTGAAGTGATGTGATAAGCATATTTCAGTATCATGAACAGATGTTTTTGACTGCTAAAAATACATGCATAAAATCTGGGAGATTTTAGGTCAAGATTTTTACTTTGTTATATTTCAACGAAATCAAAATAGGGCAACAGACAGACAGGCAGGCTTAACTAAAAGTTTGGAAAGTCTAATTTTGTCCCATTCAGTGCATCCATCTAACCTCTTAAAATACTGTTAAAGTCATGAGCAAGTTTTGTGAATGAAACAAATTGTAAATACATTTCTGAAGTTTATCTATAGGGCCTACCAGTAAAGATTTTATTGGTTTGAAATGTTTTCACAAACGGAATGTCTTGCAGAGCTTTCACTTGCATGCATAGTTTTCTTGTATATAATAATATAACATTAAAAATCAATGAGATGAGCATGATAGAACATACATACCAATTTAGTCACATTCATGAGCTGAACAAGAATATTTCATGCATGGGACTGTAAATGCCAATGATTATGGAATTTTAATGACAGTTGAAGATACTTTTTAAGAGGTCAGCTATCAATATGACAGTAATTATTCTTAGCATTATGTATTATGCATGAAAAATATAAATAATGCATACAACAAACAGAAAAGTAAATTAAAACTGCTTGTTGGAACTTGGGGTACATACGCTTCTTTCATTTAATTAAAAATGGATAAAACTATGTGCAATATTTATATTATATAGTACAATCAGAGCCGCTTACCGGTAGTACTGTTTCACTTGTAAAGGTGTTGATCAAACATGACATATGACTGCTTCACTTTGCTACATTGCTGCCATCAGCATGTGGTAAAGATATACATAATCTAAGTACATGAAGATGAAATGAGGTTCAACAATAAACACGTAATGAAAAATGAGATCTTGTTTATTAATCATATAGCATGGTATTCTAGATCTGCTTAAAGATCACATTATGCTATATCTATAAACTAAAACATAGGTTAATGCCTTTATCATGAGTCAGCTTAAACAGTGCTTCAAGGGGAAAAAAAACTTGTTTACTTCATAGAAGCTATCTTCCCTCTTTCCCTCTGAGTCAGATACAACCCCCCTAAAGTTTCCTTATTATTTTTTAAAAACATTCTTACAATTTAGAAAGCTGAAGAAATAAGTGAGCTTCATGGAAAAGCTGTGAAGCTTGTGTAGAAAAAAAATGCTTACTTCATATATCAGAGAAATGCAGTAGTTACATAATGCTTAGACCATCAGTGTGTTCAATATTTTTCCATCTGCTATAATACTGATCCAATCAACACTTATCTAAAAAACACAGTAAAAGACATTTAAGTAAAACACTAGTTGATGATGATTCACCGGATTTCTCTCTATAGAAAAAAAAAAGCCCCCAAAACCCTATGAATAAAGTGTACGCATCTTCCATTGGATAAATAACAACATACAACTTTCACTCAGCTACTTCAAACTCTTCCAAGTTTATATTTCCAGCAAGCAAAGAATATGATAGGAATGGCATCTCACTTGTGTCACTTGTGTAACTCTGCAAATTAAGAAAGTTTATCAATAATTTGATCTTCCTGTCTTCAACATGATTTTCGTCACCAGGACTTTGAAATGCATCAATGCGTCTTACATTCCCTTGTCACGACAGGACAAACAATACAAGTCAGTCCTTGAAAATATTTTACTGAGCTTACAACAAATGCTAACAAAACTAAGAAGATACCGGTAATGTTCAGTGATTGACACACTATTCTTATCTGGATATTGTTTTCAATGACAACAAATAAAAATTACAAAAACCTGACAACTGTACACACAAATAGCCTCCATGTCACAGATGTATAAAAAAGATCTACATAATACAGATATGCACATGGTCATAAATATCATGTACACCTTACAAAAACTTATGCGCACACACACACATGCCAACATTCATGAATGTATACTCAACACACAACAAAAGCATTTGCTCACAGTCAGTTATTCATCCTTAAAAAATCCAGCATTTGCACTCACCGACGTATTCACAAAAACATGTTCACTGCACATGTGCCCATGCATTCATAAATACAAACACTCATTCATGCCAAGAAATGCAGAGAAATTAGAGATTTATCCTTTAGAATATGTTCATCAAGCTACATGGTCCAAGCTCTTACACTCATTCATGCACAACTAACACACAGCAGTCGTTTCAAAGTCCAAGACAATTTTCTCAGCAATCAATCCAGATCCTCGGCAGCTTCTAACATTGACCTGAACTCTGAGTGTGGATCAGCCAGAAGCTTAGACGGAGTGTTGAATTCTTGAACCTGAAAGTCGAAATAGAATGATTCATGGTAAACCTTATTCTACATCACTTCAGAGTAGCTAATTAGTTAACGGTAAAGTTCCACTTATGAGATTGTAAACTTGGTACATATATAGGTATAATCTTCACAATTGTAAATGTTGGTGAACGTTTTGAGCCACCATTAACATTATTTAAATAACTTAAAATTTAGGCCATAGGCCGCTGGACTATGCTTGTCAGGGCCAACCTGGACGGGGGGGGGGGGGGGGGGGGAGGGGATATTGAAAAGAAAAATTATTTTCGTTTAAATGGCAGGTGTTTTATGCTCCCACTGACACAATTCAGATAATTTAGGAGGTTGGCTGCTTCAACCGTGCCTGTCAGGGCCAACCCGAGCTGACAGGGATACAATACAGTGGATCAGGAGACATGAAGATGTCAGTAAAAAAAATTCAACCCTCTCTACAATCAACGCAATGATTCAAGTTTGCTTAGTGTTATTTGCCTCAAGAGCAACAATATATTTTTTTAGAGAAACTTCAAAATTAAAACGAGCCATTTCCTCATATTTTTACGGAGCAAAAGATATGACGAAAGAACAAGTCCCCCTCCCCCCCTTATGACTATATAACTGAAACCCGCAGAAAAGTATAAAATATTGACAAAATTTGTAAAATAATTAAGACTAAATTTCACCAATTATGCAAAAAAAAATTTTAAAATTTTTCCACTGAATTTTGATAGGCCAATGCATTTTTTTGCACTTTTATATAGATGGACTTAGCAGCATTGCATTGTAATAGTGTTGACTTAAAGAATGTAGCCACATGTCCCAAATGACCTGCTATATTGACGGTGATCAAGTTTAAATACACTGTAACTAATGATTAATGAATGGTATCGTTTATATATTACATATCAAATCTCTTTACATACTAACATAGATTACTTACTTATCAGTAGTTGCTCCTTTCTTTTCCAGTGATATTTTCTCATCTTTTTCTTCCCGTTTTCTAGTATATTTTAAGTCTCATGGATGTTGGCTAGACATAATTAGAGATGGCTTGTAACAATAGTGTAGCATATCCATGCTCTACAGAATCTGTACCCTTTACAAATTTTAATAATCGTAATCAAACAGTTACCACAGTTAGAAATAGGAACACACATAGATGTGCCTACTTTTCATTCAATTATTCATTTCCATTTCAAGTCTCGCAATCCCACAGGTAAAAAATGTGATGTGGAGCCAAACCAAAGCCATACTAATCCATTCATTGGATTTACACCAAAGTGCGCTCAGTTTTCCCCTTTCCTTCCCAGAGCACATGGTTTGACACATCATAAAATGAGTACACAAGCAACTTATAAAGCCAACCATGGGACACATAACTGCAGTTCGCCATGTCGGATGTTTTGCTTCATTTGCTTTTTCTGCTGTCTTGTCCATTTGTATCCAATATTATTTTGTTGACAGTTGGACCACTGTTATAGTAAAGCATGTCTGTTCCAATGCCTGCTATAAAAGAACTTAACTATACATTACAGGAGATCAGACTCGAGGATTTAACATAAGCCTGCTATAGCTGGAATCCTGTTACCACTGTGACTTATATGCAGGCTCCGCTGTATTATACAACACTGTCTAAGACATTCACCAGTCTAAAACAACCATTTTTCTCCTTAATAACCCAGTATCACAACAGACAGCCAAGAACATCATCAAATGCAACACCAGGGAACAGTGGCTGAATGGATGGGCAATGGGCAAAACTGGAAGAACTGTATTTGCACACGCACATGACAGCCCCCAACTCCAAAGATGCAATAAATTCCCTAAGTAGAAGAGAACAAGTCACGATCTTTCGCCTGCAAACACAACACATACCATTAAATCTTACCTTAATAGGATCCGCAAGGATACCCCACCCGACTGCCCGTTGTGCGACTGAAAGGATGAAACAGTACCACACTACCTCTTTAACTGCCCAGCACTTTGTGACCTGCATAGCACCTACTAACTGCCTCCCCAGACATCGGAAATACTCTATACAGCGACAAAGCACAGCTGATTAAAACCTGTAAATTCTTTGCCATATCGACAGACCGAAGGGCTAGAACCAAATGGCCTCTGGATCGGGAAAGTTAAGTAAGTAAAGTAAGTCTCCTTAATAATGGGTGGTTGTCTTGGACAATTTCCACTGTATTTCACTAAATGCCAGAACAAACCTTTCCATTCTTCATGACCAGGATCTTATCACAGCTTGTCACAGTGTTTAACCTGTGGGCAATTATCAGCATGGTGCATTCACTGAAAGCTTCCTTCAATGTGCACTGGATGAGGGCATCTGTTTCTGTATCAATAGCAGCTGTTGCCTCATCTAAAATCAGAACCTGGTGAAGAAGAAAATTGAATTAAACGTAAACATCATTTGTATCATTTTTTAAACTAAAAAATCAGTTTATTTAATGCATAAACATATTTAATTTTATGTTTTCTTGCCCTACCTTGAACTAAAAATAGCTATCTCGGATTTGGGACCAGCAAAGCTGCGTCTATAGATCATTATGTGTACTTATACTTGGGAATGTTACCATTGTAGTCAGAATAATTTAAAATTGATATAAATATGGTTAATTGGTAAATGCATGAATGTCTTAACTTTAAACACCATTTTTGTTGCATGCTTTTCTTACTCTGTCATTCAAATGATCAAAACCTTTGACTCTGAGTGGGTGTTTAATGGTACTATTGGTCATAACCGTTGAACCGTTGAAGATATTGGCATGAAATAAAGTGCAAATTACTCAGTAAGTTGTCCTGAATCAAAATATGTTCATGTTTTAATATATTATGCAAATTTTGATTCATATATAGGGCTTTCTTGTGCCACCACACATGTCACAATGCGGTGGAATCTGGTGCATGTCAGTTTTTGGGCATATGGAGTCATTGGTAACATCTTAAAGTAAGGCTTGATCATTTATTTGTCTTGCTTTTCAAAAAAGCAAAGTAACCAGTCTATCTTGAATAGAAGTAAAAATATTTGCTATTGAAGGAGCTGGGGTTGCCTGTTGTCAGAGAAACAATTTGTGAGAAAATGGCCGTCGGAGTTTGGTGACTTCCAGAGCTTGAGGATCCTTTGAAACTGCAAATCTACATTTTAAAACTTTCTAATGCTTCTGATTAATGTTTCTTTACATTTCACAAACAAATATTAAATGGGCTTAAAAGGTGTTGAAACAAACAAACAAAAAATAGATAAAAAATCTCCAAAGAGTGGAAAAAAATGTCTGTTTTCATTATTTTGAAGAGCTCCTGATTGATTGATTGATAGGGTAGATGTTTTACGGCACTATCGACACAATTTTGGTCATTTAAGCGCCATCAGGTTTCACCGCTACAAAATCAGACATGTTTTTAATAAGTCTTTCGGAGCTCGCAACCGCAAACGATCACACTATTTTTATTATGCTAAAAAGACGAACAAACATTTATAAAAAATTTTTGTAAATATGGAAAAGGCTTATTTACATTTGTATATACAATACAAATCTCAGTGTATGTATATATACACCGACAACGACAACTATATATTTTCACATTTTATTAAACAGTCCAATTTCTTTTATAAAACTTAAAATTCTTCTAGGTTCTATGATGTTAAAAAGGGTCTTAATATTTTTACATTTAAAATATTTATCACGGACATAATTAAAGTCGACACATTCCATTAGGATGTGCCGAACTGTGAAATTTGTGTTGCACGGAAGAGCTCCTGATTTCATCAAGATGGCACTCATATTTTTAGGCAGTACCTACACAATTTGGCTTATTCACTGTGATAACTTTGTTCAATGTCTTCTGTAGCAGACTAAGAATCGAACAATAGTGAATTTTTAAAAAATCTAAAGAGAAATACCTAACATGTCTTTATCATGTGTTCTACACGCAAAATGCAAACTTTTGAGAAAAAAAGCAGTCCGTCACCTTGATATTTAATCAAATCTGTTGGAAAAGGGTTTCTTTAACCAACTCAAAATGGCAATGCTAGCTTTTGAGAACTGACAAGTAACCTTTGCACTGATGTAAGCTTATTATATCAAATTCCTCAGAAGAAATGATTGAGTAGATGTTCTGCGGCACTATCGACAAAGTTCCTCAGATGAAGAAAGCTCAGTCCCATTGAAACACTTTAACTTACTTTGCTGTTCCTCAGTAGAGCCCGAGCCATGCACAAAAGTTGTCGTTCTCCCAGAGAAAAATTTCCTCCAGCTTCCTCAACACTTGTGCTCAGCTGGTGTTCGAAACTCTTCACCTAGAATATCAAACATTGCAATGAATTAGTTAAGTAAAGCAATATAAGACATTATCAGGATGAAATATCTGTCATCGAGACAAAATCATTTTTCTCCTTTGCTTTTCGCTGCTACATATCAGGGGGTAGTTGACTGCTGTTTCTTCAACCTACAGAGCAACTGATATAATTTACGTATGTGCCTTTTTGTCAGGATGAGGTGAGCACTAAAATTCTTAACACTAATACTACTAACAGTATTCCTGTGTGATACTTTAGTGAGCACAGTTGAATTTTCTAGATGCTACGATTATTTTTCATTCATTGTGTTCTGATAGATTTATACAGTAACCTAAATATGTAGATTTGGGACCAGATCTACTGATACAATGGTAATGCAAACAACAATATGATATCAATGTTGAAGTGCAGTCAATGGCCACATGACATAAAGAGTATACAGCTTTGAGACATACAACATCAGAGTCTAAATCTATAATATCTTTAACTCATTCGCTACGCCGAGCCGTGGGGGGCGGCGCGGCTAAAGTGCCGTCAGTACGCTAAGCCGCCCCCGGCGGCTCGAGAACCAATCTTCAATTTTAGCTTAGATTCTATTCCAATCCACATATCCATGTTAAAATAAAGGTGATAATATAATGTTGACTTCCGGGTCAAGCATTTCCACTGAAAATCGGAAGTTTAGATTCAGTTTTGAAACACGATTTCGTAGTTTATTCGACTTTGTCTTATCGCGATGCCAAAATTATAGCCCGGACACCAGTCTTAGTAATTTTACACGACAAAATCTATCATTATTTTGCCCACTAAAGAAGTGTTGGACTCTTTTTTATAATATTGATACGATTGAACTCATATTGCCAATGCACTGTTATTGAGAAATCAATATTTTTGAGTGCCAGATCTAAATTGTCAAAATATTTTTTTCTCCCCAAAATCACTACTTTTTGATGAAATTACACCAAAAGTGCCACTCAAGACATATATAGGCTTATTCCAAAAGCAATTCTGAATAGTTCCATATAAGATACGAGTGGGTTTTTTCTGTTTGGGATTGTTTTTCAAGAATATAAATTTTTTTGTTTTCAATATCGGATGTTATGATCCAAAAGTACAAATATTATGGAATGTATGTAAATAACAGCAAACTTTTCAATATTTTTAAGTTCTATATTCATTTATGGTTATTTTGATGTATCATTTGACTAGGTGCAAATATATTTTTTGAGTTTCACCAAAGATTATTCATTTTTTATTTTCAAATTTTATCCACATCCAATCGAAATTGTGTTGCATAATTGCCCCTTAAAGGAACCAAAGTTGAAAAATACATAAATAAACATTACAGATGTATTCTACAAACCATATTGAAAATATTGATATAATTTGATTGATTTGATATTTATTTGAATTTGTGGCCCCAAAGACCTTTTAACTGCGCACTAGTCATCATCTCATTTGCCCTCCCGAAAAAAATTCGTCCACAAGCCGAAATTAATACGTACCGAATGAGTTAAAGACATTTAATGACATCATTTTTATGTGAGTGGATTCATGTTCAGTACAATGTTATGTAAATGACTTATGTATCCATTTATGTATTTTGCGAATTGCATTGTGTGTATTATTTTATTATGTATTTGTATGCGCTAATTTTGTAATGATGTGAGTGTGCGTGTGCATGTGTGTGTGTGTGCGTGTGTTCGTGCATTCGAGCGTGCGTTCATTCGTGCGGGCGTGCATGCTTGTGTGTGTGATCAAAACAGTCTGAGGGTCCCCAGGGCAGAATGAAAGTGTTTGATTCTCCTTCAACCTGTTCATATTCAGTAACATATCTTGACTCTCACCATGTCTTCAATATGACATTTGGAAAGAGCTTGCCAAATGTCTGCATCACAGAATTGTTGAAATGGGTCCAGGTTATATCTGTTGAAAGAAAAATAGTAGCATTTCATCAATTCTTCATGAATGACCTGAGTACCAGTACGTCTACATGGTCAAAAAATTTACTGTGAAGCTGAAAATAAAAGGACAAGTTAGACCTGTTTTTGTATGTATAGTATAAGGTTTTACGGCGCTTGCAACTGCTAAGGTCATATGAGCGCGCGAAACACAAGTTGTTCACCTTTGCAAAGTTCACTTCACGACTGGTTAACTAATTTACTTTAAAATGCTAAAAAGTTAAAATATTTAAATTCGGTGTAAATACATTTGTGATTTAAAACAACTCTTTTAAGTAACAATAAAAATTTTAAATAATATCAAATTCACTCTACAACTCGCCATAAAGGCCAATGGCCTTTATAAAATTTAAAATTCTGCTGGGAACAACGACGGAAAAAATATCCTGCAATTTCTTGCATTTATAATATTTCCTTCGGATCTCTCCAAAGTCTAGACATTCTGTTAAAATGTGTCTAATGGTTAAATCTGTGTCGCATCCGACACAGAACGGCTTATCTCCCTGTAGGAGGTATTTGTGGGTCAGGGCCGTGTGTCCGATGCGCAATCGAGTAAAAATGACTACGTCTCTTCTGGAGAGGTCCGAAGGATTTCGCTGTTCTAGTTTGGGTTTTATTTCATGTAGTTTATTATTTTTCTGGTTTTCCCAGTGGCTCTCCCACAGACTGGAGAGACCTGTTTTTGCTTTGGTTAGTGTTTTATGGCACTTGCAACTGCATAAGGTCATATGAGAGTGCAGGAAAACATTTCAGTTTTGAAGAAATTTTAAATATTGCCCGGGTGGCAGCCGAAGCCTAATCTTATCAATTTTAGGACCACCAAGGGATCTTACACAAGACCTCTGAGACTTTTCACCCTTATCCAAGAAGGCTACCATAAGATCAGGGGTGTGGCTGAAAGACTGCAGTAAGAAGGAGCCAATGAGTAGCAGTAAAAAGGCTGCAGAAATAGGATCCCAAAAGAGGGGGCAAAGACGAGGGGGGGGGGGGGCAGAAAGTAGAGACTAAAGCAGACAACAGAGCATGACAGTAGAGCAGGAAAGGAGGTGAAAGGAGACAATTCTAGAGATGAAAATGTTCAATTGCTGTCAGGTTTTAAGCTCAGGATCTCTTGAATGAGAGGCGAACACCGTAACCTCCAGATGACGAGAGCCCCCTTTAAAACATCTGTAAATAAGACGTTTGTAAAAAGTTTGTCACACATAAGACCTTGACGTTTATACATTGAAACCTTAATCATTGCCCTTGTTTGTGTTTTGCTTGTTTGTGTAGGTGTTTTACAGCACTATCGACTTAGTTTTTGTGATTTGCTTAAGTTTGAGTATATGTTACGACACTATCAATACAATTTACTTTTTGCACATAGTCAAGGCTGTTATTTTAGAGAGCGAACAGTCTACTATTTATGCCTTACCTCAGGGTACCAGAAAATAGAACGGGATCCTGGGGAATGATGGAGATTTTGGATCGTAGAATCGTCAGATCTATGTTAGAAATGTCAACATCATCGACATATATATGGCCCTGATCAAGTTCCACCAATCTGAACATGGCCACAGCAAGAGATGATTTACCTGTTAATGAAAAAAAAATATATACAACAATAATAATGAACATAATAATAAACATCATAATTATGATAATAAACATAATAATAAACATAATGATGATAATAATAATAATAATAATAATAATACGATTATAATAAAATAATCATAGCATTATATAACACAATGTTCTAGATCATGCTTTATGAGCTTTTAGTTTAGTAGAGGTTTTACGGCGCTCGCAACTGCATAAGGTCATATATGAGCGCCAAGGAGTGGATGTCAACAGAGAAACCCTTCCAGGGAATCAGGCTTACTCTGCTCGCCTCTCTAGCTTCAACAGCACAAAGTCTGCTTCGACTGTCAAGGCACCCCGGAAGTAGCGGGTCATATTGATTGATTGATCGAGTAGATGTTTTACGGTACTATCGACTCAATTTAGCGGGTCATAAGAGTGTGACAAACATGCACAAGAAGTAGAGGAAAATGACGATAGTAAGGATTAGGAAAGAAAAAGTAGTAGTTCCCTATCTTGCCGTTCAGGCACAGTTATGACCATGGCAATGAATCAGCCCATTTACAATAAATTTTCTACTGTGCATAAAAACATGTTAATGTTCCCCTTTGGGAATGGCCTAAAGACACTTCAGTCAGTAGCACCGCCCTGGGGGTGATTTATGAGCTTTATAACAATTATTACCTCAGCAGATCATAGAACAAAAAGAGGCATTCTGTTTTCCAGGACCTATCTACTGCAAACTGCAGATTTCACATGCTTGAACAATAAAGGGACAAGATCTTTCACTGTCTATAGCCGGGTACCCGTTCCCACCAGGATGAAGTGAGCAAAATTTGTGTAAAGCGCCTTTACCAAGGACACTATGTCGGGCCCCTGATGTGATTCGAATCCACAACCTTCCAGTTGTGAATCCAAGAGCCTAATCACAAGACCACCAAACTACCAGAAGAACCCCCCAACCACCTGCAAGGTTTTTTCCTCTTTTATATTTATCAAGGAGCGTTATATCTCGAGTAAAAAGAGCAGGAGGAAAGATTGTTCTAAAAGCAGTAATTGAGGCTACATGAAAAGCAGCAATTCATAATGCGAAGTTCCTTCAAAGATAGTTTTTCAACCTCAGTTTATCTTAAAAGTCAGCACCAAAAAAGCTAGCCTTGGCTGACAAAGATTAAGTTCTATTGATAGCAACACTGAAAACGAGTAAGAGACATACAGCATCAACAAATCACTCATACATATCTGTACATAAGAATAGCATACAAACAGAAGGGATAGTACCAACTTGTGGAGAAAGACTACAAATCATGCATTGTGTCTTCATGTGTTGGATTGATGCTCCTAAATATAATCAACACATTCAGGCGAAAAAAGGGCACATTGATACATTCATTCAAAAATTACAATATGGCACAAATTACACATGGGTTCTGAAGTTCTGGTCTTTGTCTAAAGTAGAAACAGAACAAAATGAAGAAATGAAAAACAGTACAGGAAAAAGGAGATGAAGACAAGGAGAAAAGAGGAAGAGAAGAGAAGAATTTAAGATGCAGCTTAAAAAAGCCGAAGGAGAAGAAGAAAGCTTAGCCACAAAATTAAAGTCAATTACCCGCAGCAGTGCGTCCTACAATGCCAATTTTCTCATGTGGAGCAGCGCTGAAAGTGACATCATTCAAGGCTAGAGGTAGGTTGTCTCTGTACTTCATCTTGACACAGTCGAACTCAACATGACCTTCTGATGGCCACTTGTCCAAGGTGTCTGCTTCAGGGAGTGTCGGCTCTTGTCTGGTCAACTGGAAAAAAAGATTAGGGCTTACTCGAGTTGTTTAGTTTTAGTAATTGATTTACGGCACTTGCAACACAATAAGTTCATATATAAGAGCCAGAGATTAGGTGTTACAAGAGCAGACACCCCCTCATCATATAGAAAAAGATGGGAAACTAAGGATCATCGCTACACACATAAATGTCTTAGCAATCAAACCAGTGTAAAATTCTTCAAAGCAGACAAAACAATTATTACAATTTCATCATTCTCTTTACAAAAAACAAACTCACATTGCAATACTTCAATATCCTCTGAACAGAGGTAAATCTAGCCTCTGTTTCAATGAACAGCCGAGCTGTAAACTGGAACAATCCAGACATCTGTTGGCGGAGAAGAAAATGTGGAAAAATTATGGGGGGAAAAAAGGTGGAAAAAAGTTTACACATGCACATATCGGTCTAAAAGTTGGAGGATGGCGGAAATGCACAAATATGAACGATTGTTTCATGGTCATTACTTTTGCGTTATCTTCGAAAATGGTCTTAATGCCAATTTTCCCACTAAATATTAGCAACATGAATTTCAAATTTAATAGTGGAAAGGTGAACATAATTTTCATAGAAATGATACAAAGTTTTGAATTCTCAATGTACAACTATTACATTCTCTTAAAATATTAATTTTGATTATAAAAGTAAGTAACAAATTAAATTCATAAAATATGTTGAAACTGTACATTTGAGTTTTTAGTTTAAGGCTATCAGCTTACAAAAATAAATTACTTTTACCATCAGTGAAATTTTTCTAATTGGGTAAAAAGGCATTTGCATTTCATGGCCCCAAGAACGAATTGCCTGGTAATTTAAGAGATTTTTTTGTCAGAACACGATGTCGTCTACTTTTTATGAGTTGCTGTTGTATTTGTAAAGCATTCAGAGCCTGTGCTCTTTAATCAGGGTTGAATGCAATATTAATACCATTATTATTACTAAAATATATTGAGATTTCACCTGTACACTATACGAAATGGCAAGTCCAGCCAGTGCAGTGTTCAAATGCTCAAATGTCAACAAGACCAGAAGTCCAGTAATGAAAGCGATAGCAGCACTAAGCACATCCATGCGCACAGCCAGCCAGCGGTTGGCCGCGTAGAACAGAAATACAGGGACAGAGTTGTCGTTGAGCAAATCACAGTGTCTGTATAAAGAAAATTGGAGACATGTCGTGAGGTTTCAACATCAAAGTTAAGTTTTATGTCCTACTAGACCTATGCCAGGGTAAAGGGTTGATAGACTGAGTAGATACTTTAAAGCACTATCGACACAGTTTTGGTCAAGTGAGCACTAAAAATAGATGTGCTATCACAAGCCTAACCATTTACTAAAAGGACATACATACATTTATAAATGTCTCTGTAAATATGATACAATTTTTACTTACATGTATTTACAAAGGGTACAGGGTACAGGGTTGAGAAGGGATATTCTTGGAAGAGAGAAAAAGAATTCAGATTCCATATGGAAGATTCAAACCCCAAATTTCAGCAAGGCAGATCAAGTCTAATCTAATGTACCATAGCATCTGGTATAAGATCAAACATTTTTTACGCTGCATCATTGATACAGTTAGATCATTTCAGTTCCATAAAAGGTCTGGCCTCTTAGCAACAGACATGACCAACAGATTTTACAGACAGATTCACATTTATAGATATCTGTTGTACGGTAATTTATTAATGCAAGCAACAGAGTACAAGAAAACATACATGTCTAGCTGGATCTTACTTTCGTCGTCTAAAAAGCAACACCGAAGTATTTTATTTAGATTTGTTTGCAATCCATGCCTCCTGCACTTATTAAGGTTTGAACACAAATCCAATTCATTGCAGGAGAATTAGCCTAGTGTTGGCAAGCTTTAACAGAATTTTGGTCAACTTTTGTGAAACTCACTTCTGAATGAACTGGTCTGTTCTCTGATAAGCCTGTATTGTGGCCACTCCCTGAAATGAAGCTCCCATGTGGCTGATGACAGGCGACCTACTAACATTGTCGAATCGCTTCATGACTGTGACACACGTATGGAATAATACCATGAGGAAGAAGAACAGGGCACCAAAGGGGACAAGGGCTATGAGGAACCAGGGAGACACATATGCAATCATAGCCAGGCCAGCTATTACTTGGAGGATGTTGGTGAGAAAGATTTCTGCATTCATCGGGAGACGCATATCAACTGGAAAGTACGAAACAGAATATATATTTGTTGCAGCCATCATATATGTACAATGTAGAATCACATTTTCAACAGCACAAAATTTGTATGTTGAACTTGTCTAACACAAGCAGGCGGGATATAACCTTTAGCTTATGTTAAACCTTGAAGGGCACAAATAAAAGAACATATATAGTGATGCAAATGACAACTGCCAATATGTCTTTGAAAATAGGCTCATCGACTCGTGACTACAGAGTACATTTTTTCCAAAAGTCTCAGTGAGACTTTTGATAAAAAGATCTGAGTGTGGTACCATGATTTCTTGTCAAAGTTTACCCAGCAACTTAGGTAAGCTAACTCAATACCAACATTCTTTTATGCTCTAACAAGTTTAATCAAAACGAATTACAAATCTTTTCACATTTGGCTTCAGTATCTAGTTTTAGCACAAATGCAATAAAATCAAAATCCATACTTTCATCCAGATCAGCTGAAAATCGATTGACAATTCGCCCCAGTGGAGTTGAGTCAAAGAATGGCATGGGGCAGCGAAGTACTTTGGTGAAAGCCTTGTTGTGTAAACATGTGGCAGCTTTGAGTACAGTCTGAGGAAATGAGAAACAATTATAATAATAATGACAGTAATAATAATCATGACAGTAACAGCAACAACAACAACAGCAACAACAACAACAACAACAACAACAACAACTACTACTAACATCAACAACAACAACAACGGCCACGAAAACGAAAATAATCACTTCTATAGTACCCACTCCCAGGTCAACAAATAAAAAAAATATATTAACATTTGAAATTTAATTCATATCAAAAGCCCACTTTCAGGTCACAGGCAATACAATATGCCACTTTTCTTTGAAATCGTGAAACATTGGTCAAGTAAAAAAACGGAATAACTGAAATTCAACTGCAAGGCTCATTCTAAGAGAGAGTGACAAAAAATTGCTGGAAAAACATTAAATACACACATTTATTATTCTAGAAAAAAATATGCACAACTACCTACCTTTGTGAGTAATAAAGAACGCATCAACATGAGAACAATGAGCAGTGGAATGAAACTGGCATAAATGCCGAGATATGTATTCTTGTCAGGGTGATCTACAACTCTCATACTTGGCAGGGTGATATTGCCCATGGTCATGTTCGAATCCTGAAAACACAATTTTTAAATTATTCATACTAGCAAAATGACTACATCACAATCATGTCTTAAACCTTGTTTCTTGGTTTGTCGTTTGAATAAAGAGAAACATATGCCCTCAAACCTTTTTAAACCTATCTGCACATCTACATATATGCAAGTACATAATAGTGCATTATATAAGTATTGTTGGTTATTACAGGACAAGGAATAATCATTACCAGACCAATTTGCTGGAAGAGATTTAATGATTTGCATTTTACTTGGCACTAGACAATAATATGTGAATGGCACAAAAGAACACTGAACACTGGAATCATTAAAATGATAAGTTTAGTTTTGAAACGAGTGTCCTCAATCCTAGTGGGTTTTCTTTTTTTCTATTTTACTAACAGTTCTACAGCACTAGAAACAATTAGGTCATAAAAGTGTAGAAGATTAGGTGTTACAAGAGTAAAACAAAAAAGAATGAGGAGAAATAAAGATGATAGATATTTGATAGGAAACAAGGAACAGACCATACCAGAGCATCCACCTGTTTTTTTTTTTTCTGATCTGGTTGACAAGAAGAATGAGAAAGGAGGAAACTGACAGCAAGTAGTGAAGAAAACACAGGTAATAATCATGTTTACTGTTGCAAAATGTCGAAATGCCAGTAAAGTCTGCCTTAAGTGAACAGAAGGAGACGCTGACCACAAAGTTTAACAGAGACAGAAAGTCATTTATCAAAAAGATAAGTTTGTTTCTCCTGCTCCAAAGTTCTGTTATTCCAATACAATAAACCACTTGTTGCTAGAGTCAAAACATCAAAACTCAGAGATTCAAAACCCCAAAAAACAAAGCCAACCCTAAAAAAAAATAAGCCAACCCTCTCCTCCCCCCCCCCTAAAAAACCCCCCAAAAACCCCCACCCAGACCCTAGGGAAGCAGGTTTACACTTTTCAGGACAATATATAGACTTTTCTGTTTTAGATGAATGTGTATGACACATAGGGTACTACTGTAATCACGCTGAACAAGAAACTTATGTCTGTAATGTACTTAGGCTCTTTGCAATTGCGCACAGACATGAGTTCCATTCCAGTGTGGGGAACATTTTAGTTAAGTATCTGCATCTATCTGCTCCAATGTAATTCATAAGTAGGGTTGATTCAGCCCACCCTGACCAATCTAGATTGAGTCGATAATGTTGGCAAACATTTGTAATCACTGAACGAGTAGGAGTAGTAATTATTTTTAAAAAAGAGTTTTAGAGCACTTGTAATGTAACGACATACAAGTGCCCAAGTATAGAGGTGCTACAAAAGAGAATTACAAAAAAGGAGAGATTAAAAAAAACCAGGTGTTTAATAGGAAAAGAAGGAAACCACACCACAGCACCTGCCAACCACCCACAAACAAGAAGTAAAATATTTTCAAACTCTAGAGAATTATACCCCAAATCTTGAATGCTCACCCCACCACCTTGTTCCAGCCAATAGGTCAGGTACCAGCCTGCCGTGGTGACTCCAGCCACAGGTAGAGAGAAAAACAAAAGCACACACAAGAACCAAACAAAGCCCCCAGAGGCCTGAATGTACTGACGGATGACTGGCCATCTCAGAGACCCACTCTCCATTTCCTCTTGCTCTGTCAGTTGACCTTCGAACTCTGAGGAAAGTCACCACAAGCATATATAATTAAATTTAACATAAAAAGCGCTGGTCAAATATCCAATCAATGAATTGAGGAGGGGAGATCAATCCATAATCTTCCAACCTAGAAAACAACATGTGCCCCTCAATCAACATTTCAACTGAATTGGAGTAAAGCAGTCTGCTGCCTGCCCACTATGTGACTACCTCTCCTCAGAGACAGTGGAACATCATCTGTTTCTTCTGTAGAAAACTAACCAAACTAAGGGGATGTTTTATTCCCAAGCTACTCCACACATCTAACTGCCTCTACTCCTCAAGACAACAATTAGAACAGACATGCAGCTATTACAGAATGGCATCATGCAGGGGAGTTAACGCTCATATGCTACTGGATCGCTAACAATAACAATGTTAGTGTTTTTTACAATCCCATTGACAGTTTACATCATTTAGGAGGCTGGCTTTGATCCTATTGAGAATCCACCCCAGAAAGTCAAAGGTCGTAAGGATAGATGCACCACGAAAAGAGCAAGTCACAATGGAAGGAAATGCACAAGAAGATGTTGAATCCTTCAGCTATCTTGAAAGAAGGAGGTACAGGAGCTGAAATAAAGTCTCAAAACGAAACAGAACAGAATTCATTCATATCTTTGAATAGGAGTTGGAGGACCACTAATATCTCATTCCCAACAAAGCTGAGGATTTTCAACTCAAATGTGAAGTCAAGTCTTGCTTTAAGGGTATGAAACAAACTTATCTCAGTCTTTCACAGAGTGGATCCAGATTTTCCTGAACAAGTGTCTGAAAGAGTTACTCATGATCAGATGGACACAAAGTGCATCAATGAGCAAGAGTTAAGGAGAACAAAATGGAGCCCAGTCAGAGATGAAGGGGGAAGAAGGTGGTGGTGCTGGATTGGACATACTCTCAGAAAGCCAAGCAGCTGAATAACAAAGAAGGTGATGGATTAGAATCCACAGGGTAAGAGAGATCAAGGGGAAAGTCAAGTGGAGCATGGAGAAGAATTGCAGAGAATGATGTATAGAAAAGTGGGAAGACATGGAACAACATCAAGAGACTAGCCAAGAATACGGAAAGGTAGAATGTTTGTGACCTATACCCTGATACAGGGTGAGAAAAGCAGTGATGATGATTCTTCCTGTATATTTTGAATTTGTACCCTCCCTCATTCTTTGAAATGACTTATGTAAATGGGAGTAAACTATGTTATAAAATACCCATAGTATAATTTAGAAGATATCTCTCGTTGTACCATGTGAAACTTGTCTTATGTTTGAATGTGAGTTATTTGCCATAATCCAAACCAACTTTTTTTTACAAAAGTCAGGCTCTTTCTTGCATTAACATTAAAAATGATATTACAGCACATCTGAAATATTAAATGCACTTTAAAAAAAATTCAACACATTCTACAAGATAATATGCTGAACAGAACTATGCCTCACAGATCAGAAGGACAGTACTGCCGTCGTAAGGGAAAACGACGAATGGTAAAAATTTTTCAATTTTTGTATTTTTACATATTTCATAGAGTATTTAATTCTACATCTGATGGTGTAAAATTTTTTGTCATATCCTAATCCGTTGTTGCGTAATTGAAAGTTCGTCGTTTTCCCTTACACTGGCGAGCTCCGAGCCAGGGCTCAGTGTAAGGGAGAACGACGAATGGTCGATCGGTCAAGGATCACTGCTCGTTCGGCGTTGTCCCCTAGTCTCTGCCGTTGGGCAAATTCGGCAAGGGCGATGAATGACAATTGGTCACTGTTGCGTCAGTACAAACATACTAGGTTTTTTTCAAACAAACACAGCACCACCCCCTCCCCCGGAGTACCGTCGACCAGGTTTATAAGAATGTATCACTTAGTGTGTCTTTCTGTCTGTCTTCAGGTATTAGGCCTATGCTGATTGGGTGAATTGAGCAGGTGGGAGAGAGGGGAAAACGGATGGGAACAGGGGGAACGGGGTGGGAATGGGAGGGTCAAAAAGTATTTAGGGAGAAATCATTAAGACTGCATATTAGCGTCCGCCAGATGTTCACAGACTAACGTCATGTTAGTTTGCTGTCCAGTCATTTGACATCCCAAATCCCAACGATGGTTATAGTGCCGCAATTTGTCTAGCACGTGTCACTGGTCGACATCCTTATAGAATTACCAAGCAATTAATGACACTGCTTTATGAGAGTAAATTTCTTTGTCCAACTTAAAAAGTGGACGTATTGTGGCGACACTTAGTCTTGCTTTACGATTTTTTATGACTTGATGGACGATACGATCGAGTATAATAATGTCTTGCAGATTCAAACTGTCCTTGTCGATCTCTACTTTGTGGTATGTTTTCCGATCAACTGAATCCTTTATTAAATACAAAGCGTCGCATTACCTCTCCCGAAAGCGTTTGTGATACAGTCTGGTCAGATTGTTACATTTCTTACGAGAAAGTTTGACTTGGCAATGATCTGATCGTTATTGACATTGTAACATTGTTGATCCCTTTGGTCGTGCAGGGAAAATTTTGCAATTAGCGAAAATAAAAGTAAAACTCGCTTCTGAATAGAATACAATAAAGAGATATCATGGAGATCAAACTTTTGTTCTGAATGAGACAGTTTTAAATCAAGCTGTTGAAAATGTGCGCACATCTGATTTGTACACTGACTGTGTAATATTTAACCAAGCGAGGAAGGCAAATGAAGGACGTTTATCCGAGTTACAGTTGGGATATAACAAACACCTAACTATACGTATAATAGCTAGTTTGTATACGTCTTATTTTTATTTGTAGTAACCAGTACACAGTCATTACTGTCAATAATGCGTCACAACTGACCATCGCCTACTCCCATAATGTTCACCAGTGTAAGTGAGAACGACGAATCGTACCATTTGTCGTTTTCACGTACATCGCAAGGCTCACCTGCGGGCGCGCAGTGTAAGGGAGAACGACGAATGTCGAATAACTTTGCTACTTTTTAACCTAAACCATTCAAACTTAAAAAACTGCTTTATGAACACCTCAATCAGATATCTGGTGAATTACAGCTTAAAAGAGTGAAAAATAGAAGAGTTATAAAGTGAAAACTGTTTTTGCCTCTCCTGAAAAATTTGCCTCGCTACCTGCGCAGGACCATTCGTCGTTTTCCCTTACAACGGCAGAGTACCCACCTTGTTCCTGTTCATATTTCTGGGACAAAAAGGGATCAGTGTCTTTCTTTGTTAGCTCTTCCATGAAGTTTAAAGACAAACTGACATCTGGACTGCTGAGACCTGCATCACCATTACTGCCAGTATGATCTAAGCTGCTGTCCTGAGGATCTGAAACAAAAAACCATATACTGCTGAAAGTCTAAACAAAATCCAACAACTTACAATTTGCATTCAAACAATGGAATAACAAAACCAAGTTCTAATTAAAATGGAATTTGTTTAAATTGTGATATGTGAGTCGCACCCTATATTTACTGGGGGAGATCTTACTTTTTGACAGACACCAGTCTATTTCCCAACATGCTTCGGGTGAGAAAGAAGGAGCAATAAGAATAAGGAAGAAAATATAAACCATAGTTGTCCCCCGTTTTCTAATGTTCATTGCGTACCACTTTAAACTTGTGAAATATGCTCTTCTTCATCAATGTAGTCACTATTCTATTTAAAAACTATAAGTATGAAAAAAATTATTCCCTGCAAAACATCTCTCACTAAAATCACCAGTAGTATGCTCTCACCCGATGACAGAGGTTCAGATTCTGAGCTGCGATCTCTATTTGAACTTTCAGACCTAGAGTTTGTGGTCTTTCTTTTCTTCTCTTGATTGTAGAGGTTCAGAAGACTGGCATATTCTCCATTCACAGACATCAGTTCTGAATGAGGTCCTTGCTCCACAACTTTTCCTTCTTTCATCACCAAGACAGATGTACAGTGTTTCAGATACTGTGGGGGATCAGAAATTGTTGGTAAATTACGAAAATGATATAGAAAGTAAGCGCTCAGAATAGAGAGCTGAAATGAAGATAGTCACTGTGAATATATTGAACAAAACATCAGTAGTATACTGCTTACAATAATGGAAAGCATGTCCTAAAAAGGACATAATTTACCAATTGAATGAATCACAGCAAAATTCTGGTGAGAAATAATTTAGAGCTTCAATTAACAAGAGTCTTTAAAAAAAAAGTGTTTTATGGCACTTGCAACACAATAAGGTCATATAGGTGCCGAAGATTAGAGGTGTTACAAGAGAGTAACAAACAAAAAAGAAGGAGGGGAGATAAAGACTATAGACGTTTGATAGGAACGAAGAAGCAAACCACACCAGAGCATCCGCCAACCACCCATAGGAGTCAAAGTTGCATTTCATGAACAAGCAGAAGAAATCTTTATGTGCAAGGAAGACACTCGGTATATGTAGAGAATAAGTGTCATAAAAAAAGGTACACATTTAATCATGTTTGCTCATTCTAGAGAAGCATATTTACAATTACTGCCATCAAAAGGGATGAGACAGACAGGCGGGTGGACCAATGGACAGACGGGCCGACAGACAGACAGCACTGACCTGTAACTGGTGAGTGACTAGCACCACTGTGCTGCCTTTCATCAAGCCCATAATGCAATGTTCAAATAAATGTTGACCAATGTGAACATCCACAGACGACAAAGGATCATCCAAAAAAATCAAATCACATTTGCTGTAGGCAGCTCGGGCGAGAGAGATGCGTTGTTTCTGACCTCCGCTAAGGGTAGCTCCGCGCTCTCCCACCTGAAATTAGATTGTTGTATGGTATTGGTTGTTTAAAAAAATGTATACTTCATTTTTTAATATCACTCTAAAAGCACTTGTTCAATGGCATGGATCAGCTTCTCTACAACACTACGTAATGTGCCTGTCCACAAATTCCAGAAAATGTTTTCTTGAAAATACTGGCACATTTTCATTTTATTTGAGCATCCTTGAGTGCCACATTTATTTGCTATTCCTATTTGTTATTCATGATCGAGCTCTGTAAAGACCCTTTACAGTGAAACAAAAATGCTATAAACACACCAGTGGCCAAAATCTTCGACATTTACTTATTTCAGTAGTGGATTTTGGTCTACTGCTTCCTATCAAATATATATATGTATATTTATCAATTGAAAATGACAAGATTTCATAAATCCGTGTAGTTTTTCATGAATGGAGGGAAATACATATTATGGCCAACTTTTGCTCTTCTTTTGAAAATGACTCATAAACTCATAAACATATACTAGCACAAATTATCTTGTACAACCCCCCCCCCCCCCCCCCCCCCTGAAAAAAAAAGAAAAACCTCTTACCTCAGATTCATCTCCAGCAGCCAAAGAATCAATATCTTGTTTTAGAGCACAGGCTTCAATCACACTTTTGTATCTGAAAACAAAGCAGTACAATTTATTCCTTCAAGTTATGAGGTTTAGATAACAAGTCAAATTTTCTTGTCCATAGTTCTGATAGGGCTAGACGAAATGGAAAATCATATTTTATGCTTTTTTTTTCTTAACTCTTAATCTCCTACGGGGAGAAAACCAGCTATGCCAGGCACTCTTTTGATCACTAAATTGGCCATTAAATCAAAATAAGTGAACCTACTTCAATGGTTCATCTAATGAAGGAAATCCAGGTAAAAGAGACGTGTTGCCAAAAAATAATTTGATGTTGAAGTAGTGAAGGAATGCGCCCAAGCCGCTGCCGGCTCACCAGCCCAGTGGTTTTGACCGGCTTGCCAGAGATAAGTTTTAATTCCATCACTTAACTGACTTAAAAAAAACTATCCCCAAAAGTTAAAATGTTTTGCAGTAGAGGCAAAGTTTAGCAATCCCATCACATTAATAAAACAACAGTAACATCAAGTTGATCAAATTTGCAGACGATTCAACCATAATTGGGCTCATTCAGGCTGACCTTAACGAAACTGCTTATCGGAATTTTGTACTAAACTTTTCTGAGTGGTGTGAAAATCATAAGCTGCTTTTAAATGGGAAAAATCCCCCAAAGAACTTGTTCACTTTAGAAAAAAGAAACTGCCCCTGCAACCATTCGAAATTAAAAATGAAAACGTCGAGCAAGTGTCAGATTATAACTATTTGGCTGTTACAATATACAAACTCGACTGGCATATCCACACTTTAGTCCTGCACAAAAGAGTGAACAAAAGACTATTTTTCTAAGGAAGCTCATTAAAAAAAAAAGTTGATACATCATTGATGTTCATATTCTATCATTCAAAAATAGAAAGTATGATCAATTTCTGTGTAACAGAATGGGCCGGGAACACATGACAAGAAAAAGGAAAACTGAATGATTAATACGGAAAGCATGCAAAATTTCAACATCTACATTTCCCTACTTCGGTGAATTATACATTATAGCTTGCACTAGAAAAACTTATTCCATCTTTTCGACAATAGTTGTTCCCTCAAATAAAAATATCAGAAGTAAACGATCTAGGCTTCCGATCTGTACAAAGAAAGATACAGAAGGTCCTTCTTACCATAATCCAAATTTCTTCCATCTTAATCATCTTGTTATAAGTACTCATATAACCTTAGAGCATGCATCAGAAAATACCATGGAGTTACAATCAGAATATTGAGTATGTATCTATATTCATTATTATTGTATATATTACTGTTCATTTTTATTATGCATGTGACTGAGCCTGTTTGTGAGTGCAAGCATACTGCGTGGGTGTGCTTGTATATGTGTGTGTGTGTGTGTGTGTGTGTGTGTGTGTGTGTGTGTGTGTGTGTGTGTGTGTGTATATGTGTGTGTGTACGTGGTGAAACACCAAACCAATGTGCCAGGATCTTGACCATAAAGATGAACCTTATCTTACATTACAAACCAGCAGTTTGAATTAGTATAAAGAAGTGGTAAAAGAGTAACAAAAATAATGACACAATAACCATCATTTAGTGCCGGGAAGAAGCAAGACAGAAACAACAAAAGGAAAAAAGAAGTAGGACCTACCAGTGGCGCCATGCCCTCCCAACTAAAAATAAAACCCCAGAAAAGAAAGCAAAATATAAAGTAGAGAGAAAAGAAAGCAAACTGTAAATACCTGTCTTCATCATAGTCATTTCCAAACAGTATGTTGTTCTTCACAGAGTCATTCGTGATCCAGGCTTGTTGTGACACATAAGCCACAGACCCTGTCATGGCAATAGTGCCCGAAGAAACATCCATCTAGGAAAAGAGGTTGAGAAGAAATAACTTTAGTATTTTATAATTCTGATCAACCTGATTAATATCAAAATTAAATCTAAAAATGTATGGGCTTTCTTTTAATGCGAGTATTTTTTTATGCCCCCATCAACACAATTTAGATCATTTGGGTGGTGGGTCCATGCTGAAAAGGATAACAACATCTGAGCAGAGACAGATACTTGATACAAAATTTTCTCCCCACCGGGGAATCAAACTCTGGTCTCCTGTGTGCAACAGTGAAGCGCAACGGCTACACTACAAACGCTAGTAAAAAAAAAATGGATGTAACTAAAGTTCTTTTTTTTTGTCCAGCCATATCTTGAAGATCTGTACCAGATTCACTAAGGATCACACACACGCTAAAAGTGCCAGACTGAAGATAAAAGTATAAGTCTTAGAAGATGGGAATCGACATGCAAATATATGGGTCTAATGCCCTATCAACACTCTAAGGTGAATGGACATGAAAATGCTCACTCTGTACAGAGAAATGATGAAGGATGACCCTCCGGTGGATCCCTCCAACTACCCATTAAGAGTGGAAGAAAATAGAAAACACCTAGATCAGAAGAGGAATCTAAAAAACAGGAAGTAATATGCGAAGCGTGCTGACAAAATTAGATACTCCTCGGATTCGAGCCCCATGGAAATAGATATGTCATGCTGACAGATGATGTGTTAAAAATCTATAGGTATGAAATAGTAAAAGTTTTTGTTATACTTAAAGAATAGGGCATCAATAGAAAATCTACAAAGTTGACCATAGTGTAAATTTTGGGCATATATCTCCATTTGTGGATTGCGAGAAGTTACTCATTTTGTCAGCTCACCACACATATTGAGTTGGTCTGCCCCTCAAAATTTCCACAAACTCAAAAATATCTAAAAGAGTAACTAAGACCATGAGGCAGGCTATCCACAAATACAGGAACCTCCATAAAAGAAGTACCAGAACCAAACTAATCATGGTCACTGCTAACCAAGGCTAAAAAACTATGAATGACTATTTTGAGTTTGTTTTATGATGCTTCTGACATAATTTTTGTTTAGTTTTAGTAAGCATTTTACACCACTTGCAACACAATTACATCATATAAGTGCTCAAGATTAGAGGTGTTAATACAGGACAAAAAAAAAAAAAAAGAGATCAGGATGACAGATGTTTGATAGGAAAGAAGGAGCAAACCACAAGAGAGCATCTGCCCACCCCACATACTCATAAATTAGAGGAAAGGAAGATGAAAAACCAAAGAGAAAAAAAGCAGAGATAATGCACTGAAGAAAATACCAACACATATATACACTTTACAGGTGTTCACGTCCATTCTACTGAATCAAGTCATTTCCTGCTGACATTAAGAAAGTGTGTTACTTCCTTTTCAACTCCTAGAGTGAAGGACAAAGTTCTGACTCTCCAATACTATAAAGACTGATCATTTAAGTGTGATAAGGCAGATTAAAAATGCATGAAAACAAAAAAAGTGAAAAAGCAGACCACATCATTAAAATAGTTGACCTATGACTTGAAAAGTATTTTTGAGTAAAGAGAAACTCACTGGCAGAATAACTTCGGTACATGGAAAGAGTACGAGAGACAGGACAAAAGATTTAGTCTTTGAAAATGTTTTACGGCAACAATTGCAAAACAATTAGGTCATACAAGTGCTGAAGATTAGGTGTTACAGAGAGAGAAACAAAAAAGGAGAGGTTTTTTTATTTTAGTAGAGGTTTTACAGCGCTCGCAACTGCATAAGGTCATATGAGCGCCAAGGGGTGGATGTCAACAAAGAAGTCCTTGCAGGGAATCAGACTTACTCTGCTCACCTCTCTAGCTTCCGCAGCACAAAGTCTGCTTCGATTATCAAGGCACCCCAGAAATAGCGGGTCACAACAGTGTAACAAACATACAAAAGAAGTAGAAGAAAATTACGATAGTAAGGACTAGAAAAGAAAACTCAGCAGTTCCCTGTTGTAGTTCAGGCACAGTTATGTGCATGACATAGATCAGCCCATTTACAATTCTACTGTGCACTAGAACGAGAAATGTCCCCCCTTTGGCAATGGCCTAAAGACACTTCAGTCAGTGGCACCGCCCCGGGGGTATGATAAGGATGATAGATGAAACGGATGATAGATAATTGGTAGGAAAGAAGGAGCAAACCGCAAAAGAGCACCCGCCAACTACCCACGGAGCAAAAGAATCAAAATCTTTTTAAAGGAAGAAGTAAAAACTGACCCGTCCAAGGAGAGCTGTTATGAGAGAACTCTTGCCACATCCAACATGTCCACAGATGCCTAGCAGCTCTCCCTGAATAAAATAAAAAATTGTAAATATATTTGTTTCAGTAAAGATTTTTATGCAGCTTGCACAGGTCATAAATGCCAAAGATTTTATCTTTTGCACAAGTTTTACGGCACCTGCAATACAATAAGGTCATATGAGCGCCAGAAGATTGGAGGTGCTACAAGAGAGTAACAAACATAAAAAAGAAGAAGGGGAGATAAAGACGATAAATGTTTGATAGGAAAGAAGAAGCAAATCACATCAGAACACCCACCAATGACCCATGCCAAAGATTAGAAGTGTTACAGGAGAGTAACAAACAAAAAAAAACAAAAAAAGGAGAGATAAGGATGGAAGATATTTGATAAGAAAGGAGTAAACCATACCACAGAACTTGTCAACCAACCTTGATTATAAATAAACAGCACAAATGACATGATCATAAAAAACAGGAAATGACAAACAAAACAAAACATGAATGAATGACATGATCATAATAACAGGGAAAGACAAGTTCAAAGAGTCATCACCATGGATCAGTCAACGAAAGAGAAGGTTAGGAATTTTCTGCAAAAATAAATCTTACCAAAAAAGGGTAGGGTTTTTAGTTTCCCCAATGACATAATTTAGATAAATTTATTAGGAAGGCTTTGATCCCATCTGTTAATGTTAACCCCGGCTTTGAGGGATACAACATCCCAGCAGAAAGACCAAGAAGCCAAGATACTCAAAGTCTTCCCACTTCGAAAATTGTACTTTAGTCTCCAGCGTGTGATGGTGAAATGCCTAACCACACCACTGATACTGGGGGATTTTCAGCATCCGCATAAAGTGTAGAAGGGAAAAAAAAGGACAACGTGCTAACCACTAGCTGTCTTGTAGTAACTTGGGTTTTCAATTTTCAGTATTATTATTGATGAGATGTAGTAGACCCCTGTCTGATGCACGAGCTTTTTTTTGGTTTTGGTAAGAATTTTATGACATTTGCAACAATTAGATAATATAAGTGCCGAAGGTAAGGTGTTACAAGAGAGTTAAAAACACAAAAAAGGAGAGATAAGGAGATCGATGTTTGATAGCAAAAAAAAGGAGCAAACCACACCAGAGACCCTGCCAACCACCCACTGCAGTAGCTTTATTGATCCATAAAGGGAGTTGGGAATGTTCTACGGTATAAGAAGACAGTAATTGTTTTTGGAATGATTGACTGAGTGGGAGTTTTACAGCACTTTCGACACAGTTTTGTACTAGGAAAACAGTACTGATATGCAATCGCCTACAGATTTCTTCAGTCAAATTCCTTCTTAGACAAGACTTCAAATTATATTTTTTAGTTTTAGTAAGTGTTTTATGGCACTTGCAACACAATAAGGTCATATAAGTGCCGAAGATTAGAGGTGTTCCAAGAGAGTAACAAACACAAAAAAGAAGGAGGAGAGATAAGGACAATAGATGTTTGAGAGGAAAGAAGAAGTAAATTATACAGCTATCAGTCAAGAAGCATTTAAAATTGATATCCTCGCAATTTTTAGTTTGTGACTACAGTCGTTTTTCCGCTGTAGTTTTCATTTGCAAATAAGTTTTCAAAATAAAAAGTAACCATGTACTAGTCTCTGTTCTGTGCCTACTTGTTCCTATTAAAAAACAAATGAAAACAAAATGAAAATACTTACTTGAAACATAACAGCTCTAGGCTTATAAGAGGTCTGTATGTCTCTATCATACTAGGATCAAAACTGAATCATAATCATACTACTTTTCAACTAAAAATAGATGCACACATCAGGAACTAGACTGTCAAATAATAAATAACATTTATGCTGCACATTTCCATTTTCTAAAAAAATAATGAGCATTACATTCAAAGGGATATCGCACTTTAAATTTACTTGACAGGTGTATACTTTGAACATATATATCTATATGTATCAAGTATACGAATACAAAATTTCTATGAGAAAATTGTCATGCAAATTAGATTATTAATAGTACTGGGGAGTGTTGCCATACTTTCTTCAAAGTGAATGTGATGTTGCGCAGGACAGGGGCTGTGTAGATTTGACCACCGCTCTCCTTGTTAAGGTCATCTGTCATGGCCAGCTCTTCTTCTGTTGCAGCTTTCTTCTTGTTCTTCTGCTTCTTTTTTGGTTCTATCAAAGAAAAGAAAAAAATGGGGTTACAATTATGAGTAAACACAAAACAAAATGTACAGAAATGTACAGACATTTTATTTGCTTGAGTAAAGAGAAGCTCATCGACACAGTAACGGTTATTTAGTGCTCGGAAGAAGCAAGGCAGACAGACAAACACCAGAAGGGAAAGAAAAGAAGTGGCACCTACCAGTGGCATCCTCCAACTACCCACACAGACTTTATTCTTGATGACAATTGATTAACATATGGTTGTATGATATGATTCAAGTATAATGCTCCTTTCAATGCTAAAATATTTAGGAGGTGGGCCCTCCAGATTTATAATTCACCTAAAAAAGGATTGACCCAAGAGGGCAGAAAGTCACGACAATTCCCCAAGCAGCTGAGGATAAAAATTCAGTTTTTAGTTTTAGTAAGAGTTTTATGACACTTGCAACACATTTAGGGCACATAAGTGATGAAGATTAGGTATCACTAGAAAATAACATTCAAGGAAAAAAGGAGGTAAGATATTGATGATAGAAGTCTGACCCAAACATTCTGACTCAAAATGACAGACGATTAAATGCCTTTTTTTGTGCATTAGTGAGCGTTTCATAGCATTTACAACATGACTAGGTAATACAAGTGCAGAAGATTAGGTGTTACAAAAGTAACAAAGAGCAAACCATACCAGAGCACCCGCCAACCACTGACAATTAAGTGCCTTCATTTTCATAAAGTGAAGCTCGACAATAAGTGTCAGTGCTGGGAACAAGCAAAACAGATAGACAAAATTAAACAACAAAGGGAAAAGAAAAGTAGAACCTATCTATGGTACCCTTCAATCCCATCCAACTTTACCTTTGATTGTATCTTGTGCTACCTCTCCAGTCTTTCTGACACTCCAGGTGCAGTTCGCATTCATAACTTCCAAAGCATTAGAATCATCCAGCAAGGGTTGGCTATTTTCAACAACTTCATCAAGCAACAGAATTTCCTAGGTGAACATAATATAAATAAAAAAATATTTTAATATTTTTTTCTCTTCAATAATGTGACGTATTACGTGAAGCAGAGCTGACACTTAAGTATTGGGATTATATACGAATACATATTAGGCCTATGCCTTTTATATTCCCCAAATATCCCTCTTCATAAATGAAATCGCTTGGTTTACAAAAATTCTAAAATTTCAGGATGAGGAAAAAATTACGACCTACTGTGAAAAATACAACAAAAACCTCCGCAGTAAGTGGTCCATGAAACCAAGTGACAAAATATTACAGATTCTGAGATGCATGTAAATTAACTTCTCTGCTATACTTTGTCCTTGACTATTTTACCGGTACCACAGGAATGAGACCTAAAAAAATTGTAAGGAAGTCAAAGGGATAAAACCAAAAAGCCATCTTTCTACTGACTTGAGATGCTATTGGCCAGCGGAACATAAAGTTTATTTTTTAAAATGAGAATCTGAATTGAAAGAAAAATTTCTCACTTTCATCCTTGCGACTGTCACTGTGACCTCAGATAGTGACTTGAGGGCAAAAGGTAGGGCAGTGAGAGCCCCCTGCATGGCATTCATCAAAGACACATATGTAAAGGCCTGAAAAAGACAAAATATTTCATCAAAAAATTTCCCCATTGTAAAATGTTCCGTTCTATAATAAAAGCTGGGACAGAAAAACGTAGTGCAATACAGTATATATGGTCTTTTTCAACACAGACCAATGTAAAGTTCATCTGTGATAGTAGGCCTATTTGCGCAGAGTTTGGAGTCATGAAAACTCGCAAAACCTTTTATCAAACACAGTAGTCCTGTAAGAAAAGCCACAAAGAAACAGCTAGAAAGAAACAGCTAGAAAGAAACAGCAAAAATCTTAAAAAAGGTACTTAAATGATGCTACTGCCAATAAGTTAGTCAGGAACGCCTCATACCGAGATTTGGTTTCCTAGGATCACGAGTTAAGGCTCATGGTAAGAATATCAAAGATTTTTACACCAGCCCAACAGGAAATTTGATTTTTTTCAATTCCTAAACCTATCAAAAGACGTGTATACTAATATACATATTTTTCCATTGGGAACTGACAAATGCGTTTGACTCATCTGTGATTCGGGTAAACAGATATAAAGAAAAATTAAAGAGATAATCGGGGGACGGCAAATTGTATAAATCATGTGTGATTTTCAGTTTTCCGTGTTTGTGATATCTGGGCCGGACTGTATCTTCAACAGTATAAAGGAAAGATTCCCACCTTGGAGGGTGTAAGATTGTTCCCGGTGGCCACATAAGCAATGAACGTCACGCAACTGGCAAAGATAGGAATCAGCATGGAAGATCCCATGGTCACACTCTGAAGGAATACACTTTTCCGAAGAATTTTCTCCTCACCAGCTCGAACATCTGAAACAAATTTGTTAAAGTCACTTGTAAGAAGTAATAATATCTTCACAAAATGAGGGCTGAGTTAAACAATTTGGAGGACAGATATTTATGTAAATATAATTTAATATTATGGCAGAAATTTTCTTTCTGACAAGATGAAAATTTGAATACTTTACAATACACAGGTCAAATCTTTTTTTGATAGACCTATTCCAATTATCTTTTAGGGATCACTTTTAAAATTTAAATAGAGCTTTTTAGATATTTATGTTGAATAGCTTTTTCTGTTTTTTTTTTAGTGTATTCAAATTCAACATTTATTCACTAGAATGTGTTGAAAAGGAAAGTAGTAAGTTAGGAAAAAGACAGACAAAGATTGCAGATATACGTTTTAACGGGGTGGTTGTGCATTATTCCAATGACTGGCAAATATTACGATTTGGATAAATACTTCTAAACAAGAACAAAATGATTTACAGCACTGTTAACTCAAAGAACAAAATGAGACATGGGACTAAAAATAAAATCTAGATATACTAACCTTTGATTTTTTGACCGAAACATTCTTCCCATGCATACATTTTGACAAATTTAATGCAGGTGAGCAGTTCATTTGTGAAACCCACCTGAGAAAAAAAAAGTTTTCCAGTTATCCAGTCGACCAAGAGCAAAATAACTTAGGAACCTCAAAATACTGTAAATTAGGGAGTAAAATGATACTTAAATCACTATTATCTATTTTCAAAAAGTAGCGAGCCTGATACTGGATGGATATAAGAAGATTACGGATAAAACAGGTAAAAAAAGTACTAAGTATGAGCCGTCTTAAGAAAAAATAATTAATAATAATTAGCATTTGTACAGCGCAAATTTCTGCTCAACAGTAAGTTCTTATATGCTTTATAATCCATAAGTACATGGCTTAATTTAAGAAAACAAAATTTTACACCAATACTGGTGCAATGTGGCATTAACACAAGTTAAAATTCAGAAATGTCATTTTTTAAAAACAATACGAAATGACAAGTGTCAGTTTGCATGAAAACATAACAAAGTAGGCCTACAATGATTAATTTTCTTAAGATAGTAACAACCTCCATTCTCATTATTCTAATAACAGCATGCTTTGGCCTACATAATGCTGATTAAGTTAAAAGCATACGACAAAAATTTATCTGACATTCTTTCTGAGCTTACCCTCTTGTCTGTGAGCTTTATACTGATCTCTCTATACTTCATGGCCAGTTTGGCACACGTTACCTGTAGCAACAAAAAAAAAAAAAGACATATTATGGTAACAGTAATTACAACACAAAGTCAAATAAGTGCAGAACATTAGGTGGTACAAGAGAGTAACATACACAAAAAAGGCGAGATATATGGATGATAGAGTGAGCATCCATCAACTATCCACAAGAGAACTGCATGTTTTGATGAAAATGATGATTTAGATTTGCATGTTTGTATGAGCAAAGAAAGGGACGTTAGAAATATAATAATAATGCTAATTTAGTGCTTGGGGAAAAAGAGACAGACAACAACAGGAAACAAAAGTAGGACTGCTCATAGTGGCAGCCTCGATAAGAAAGAAAGGAGCAAACCACATCAGAGCACCCACCAACTGTTAATATCTGCAATATTTTTCCTGAGTCTAATGTCACTTTCCCTCCCTCAGAGGTCTTACAAGTAAAAAGAAAAAAACAACAGCGGAGTAGGAAAAGGACCTGCCAAGTTCACATCACTGATCATAATCAGTGCATATTATTATAACGAAGTGTATACAGACCCGGTAACCGGGAACAAAGTCACGAAGTATACAGACCCGGTAAGGGAACTCTTTTGTGATTTTGGAAAGTTTCAACGCCCAGACCTGGTAGTGTGTGTGTGTGTGTGTGTGTGTGTGTGTGTGTGGGAGGGAGGGAGGGAGGGAGGGAGGGAGAGAGAGAGAGAGAGAGAGAGAGAGAGAGAGAGAGAGAGAGAAAGAGAGAGAGAGAGAGAGAAAGAGAGAGAGAGAGAGAAAGAAAGAGAGAGAGAGAGAGAGAGAGAGAGAGAGAGAGAGAGAGAGAGAGAGAGAGAGAATTTTCTTCCTACTCAAGAATTGAACTCAGGTCTTATGCAAGCAACAGTGAAGAGTGTAATCCCATTACAACATAGACACAAGACTCATAAAATGCGTCACAAAGGGAATACCAAAAGTATAGATCTGAAACGATTTTATACCACTGAATGATACCATAATTATAAGTAGTAGTAGTATAAGGTTTTACGGCGCTCGCAACTGCTAAGGTCATATGAGCGCGCGAAACACAAGTTGTTCGCCTCTGCGAAAGTTCACTTCACGACTGGTAACTAATTTACTTTAAAATGCTAAAAAGTTAAAATATTCAAATTCGGTGTAAATACATTTGTGATCTAAAACAACTTTTAAGTAACAATAAAAATTTTAAATAATATCAGATTCACTTTACAACTCGCCATAAAGGCCAATGGCCTTTATAAAATTTAAAATTCTGCTGGGAACAACGACGGAGAAAATATCCTGCAATTTCTTGCATTTATAATATTTCCTTCGGATCTCTCTAAAGTCTAGACATTCTGTTAAAATGTGTCTAATGGTAAAATCTGTGTCGCATCCGACACAGAACGGCTTCTCCTCTCCCTGTAGGAGGTATTTGTGAGTCAGGGCCGTGTGTCCGATGCGCAATCGAGTAAAAATGACTTCGTCTCTTCTGGAGAGATCCGAAGGATTTCGCTGTTCTAGTCTGGGTTTAATTTCATATAATTTATTATTTTTCTGGTTTTCCCAGTGGCTCTCCCACAGACTGGAGGTGTACTTTTTGACTTTATTTCTAAAGTCAGTCTGTGGGAGAGTGTTTGTCGTTGATCCCAGCAGAAGGGATGAGGCTTTCTTCGCCAGGTCGTCTACCTGCTCGTTTCCTCGGATGCCCACATGGCTTGGGATCCATGCGAACATGATGTTTTTTCCTGTTTCGGATAGTGTATACCATAATTATAAACAACAAATATATGAGGCGTGCTGACAAAATGAGCTACTCCTCACAAAGCATGTATGGAGATATCAGCCAAAAACAGACAGATGGTTCAAATTTGTAGACTTACAACTGAAGCCATTTTCTTCAAGTTCATCATTGCGCTACCTTAGAATTACAAAGTTCTATCTGACATTTTTGGCCGTTTTAAGTTACTAAGACCATGAGGTTAGAAACCAAATGTTCTATCTGCACTATCAAAAAGCGTAAGGTTATTTGGAGTCCTTATAAAGATATTCAGTTAACTGCTTTCGAAAAACCTTGACATGTGTAATGAAATTTTTTACGGCAAAATTCTCAAATTAGGTACTGAGCAGATAGAACATTATAATTTTTGGGTAGTGGTTTGATAATAGTAAACTGTAAAAACTCAACAATAAATTTGATATATCAATATCAATAGGGCTAAAATGCGAGTAGCAAACTTTTTTGTCAGCAGGACTCATATAAGGTTTTTACTCACAAGAAATGGGAAAAATCCAACAGTTAAGAACCATCCAACAAGAGCCCATGGTCCTAGCAGTATGACGCTGTATATACAGCTCAATATCAGAACAACGGGCACGCCAGTGGCAAAGGGCCCCATGATAATGGCATCCCAAATACGCTGACTGTCATTGCTGATGAAATTGACAAGCTGGGGACAGAAGAAAACTTTTATAGTGCTTCAGTTTTCATAACAGTTTCACGGCACTTGCAACACAATTAGGTCGTATAAGTGCCAAAGATTAGGTGTTAAAAGAGTAACAAACACAAAAAAAAGAAGAAATAAGGATAGAGGTTTGGTAGGATAGAGAGCAAATGACACCAGAGCACCTGCCACACCCACAAACTTATAAATACAGTCAATATTGTCCAAGATGGCCCACCTATAGTCGAGAAGAAGAGAAGAAAAGTGGTTGTCATTGAAGGGCGGACTTTTTTTTTTTTGGGTAAGTTTTACGGCGCTTGCAACTGCATAAGATCATATGAGCGCGCGGGACACACCTAATATTTTCAGTTGGTAGGAAATTTTGAATTTTGCCCGGGTGGCGGCTGAAGCGTACTCTTATCGATTTTAGACAACCAAGGGATCTTTAACGTGCGCAACTTGCACACGGGCCCTCCGAGATTTTTCGCCCTGGTCCGAGAAGGCTAGGTGTAGATCTTTCCTATCAGAAGATCAGGGGTGTGGCAGAAAGACAGCAGTAAAGAGGAGCCAAGGAGTAGCAATAGAAAGGCTGCAGAAAGAGTCAGGAGCCCAGAGGAGGGGGCAAAGGAGGTGAGGGGGTGGGGGCAGAAAGTGGAAATGAAAGCAGACAACAGAACATTTCTAGAGAGCAGGAAAGGAGGTGAAAGGAGACAATTTTAGAGAAGAAAATTTTTTGGTCGCTACCCGGATTCGAACCCAGGACCTTTGAATGAGAGGCCAACACCTTAACCTCTAGGCCACGAGAGCCCTCTGTGGACTTTTTGGACAGTGTCATAATTTTAAAAGAAAAAACACATGTGGGAAGTGGTTTGTACAGGAAATTGTCTAGGATCATTACAGCAGGCTCGATAAAAAATGTACAGATTACATTTATATGGCTAACATGAAGAATTGAACTCGGGTCTCCTGCATGTGACGCAGAAGCACCCAAGTATTACGCCACAGATGTTGGTAAAAGAACATTAAGCCTCTATTGTTGTACACTGTACCATAAACTGATTGTCAAAAATAACTTACATCACCGACAGTTTTATCCTGAAAGTTCTTCACACGCAGTACTTTCTTGTAAAGGAGGGCTAAGGACCCATACTTGATTCTTGCAGCTGTAGAGAAAAACAATTGAGTAGATGTTATTTTTTTCAGATGTAGTAAGTTTTATGGCACTTGCATCACAATAAGATCATATAAAAGAGCCAAAGATTGGGTGTTACAAGAGTAACAAATGAAAACGGAGGACAAATTAGGATGATAGATGTTTGAGAGGAAAAAAGGAGCAAACAACATTACAGCACTCGCCAACCACCCACATAGAAGTGTTACAGTGCTCAGCTCTATTGACTTAAAGGAGACATAGTCATGACCCATGACTACCCTCTAGACTTGAGTATAGTAGAGCTTGAAATGTGACCCAAGTAATATCTGCAGAAATGCTTAGTAATATGGATTACACTGGCTTCAATATTGCGACACAGCCGTTTTCAGGAATTGTATTTCAGTCTAGCCCTAGTTTATATTCACGTTTTTTGTTTTTGTTTCGATCTCTCACACGCAATAATTTTTTTTTGCCTGAGACAGGTGGTGAAAATGAATAAATGAACTTTTAGTGACCTATTGATACAATTTAGATAAGTTGTACGGCCTATGAGAGCCAACCTAAGCTGAGTTGAACATTGTGAAATAAATATTGGCCCCACCCAAGGCAGAGAGACCCAAAGCTCTTAGTTAAGTTTAGTTTTTGTAAGGTTTTACGGCGCTCGCAGTCGCATAAGGTCACATGAATGCCAAGGGGTGGATGTTAACAGAGAAGTCCAAACGGGGAATCAGGCTTACTTTGCTCACCTCAATAGCTTCAACAGCACAAAGTCCGCTTCGACTATCAAGGCACCCCGAAAATAGCAGTTCGCAAGAGAGTAACAAACATACAAGAGAAGTAGAGGGAAAATGACAATAGCAAGGATGAGGAAAGAAAAAGCAGCAGTTCCCCCTTCGTTATTCCGGCACGCTAAGAGTATGAGCATGACTGATAAGTCATCCCCTTTACAATTCTACTGTGCATATGAACATGTTAATATCCCCCCTTTAGGAATGTCCGAAAGAGACTTCAGTCAGTGGCACTGCCCTGGGGGGGTCCAAAGCTCTTTTAGTTTTAGAAAGCGTTTTATGGCACTTGCAACACAATAAGGTCATATAAGTGCTGAAGATTAGAGGTGTTACTAGAGAGTAACAAACACAACATAGAAGGAGGGGAGATAAGGACGACAGATGTTTGATAGGATAGGAAAGAAAAAGCAAACAACACCAGAGCACCTGCCAACCGCCCACTCCCAAAGCTCTAGACATTGAGATGTCCATTAATATTTACAGATGAACAGGAAGAAGTAAAAATAGGGCATGGAAACTTGTAAAATAAACCTCCCCACTTGGGAATCCAAACTGCATCTTTTTGGGAGCAAATCAATAACAGACAATCTTGGTGTCAGTGGCTTTGGTGTTTCACATGTCTGTAAGAGTTTTACGTCACTTGCAACACAATAAGATCATATTGGTGCCAAAGATAAGATGTTACAAAAGAGAAAGAAACAAAAAGGAGGAGAAATAAGGTTGACAGATGTTCGACAGGTAAAGAGCAATTCACACCTGAGCACCTGCCAACCACCAACAGGAAAATAGCAAAAAACAAACAGAAATAAACTACAGAAGGAAAGAAAATAAATTGGGACCTACCAAAGGTGCTCTCTAATTACTATTATTTTCCTTACCTGCTTCGAAGTTGACCATCCAGATAAACCCAGAGACCAGACCATTCAACAAGATGATGAGAGCCAGTGCAATGACGTAGCCAATACCTGAGCTCACCGAGACATCCCCGTCTGAGAGATAGTCCAGGAAGTAGCGGATGGCAAAAATCTGAGGGATAATTTTTAAAAAATATTTAGAACGTCAGTATTATTTTGCCCCATTCAAAGCAATTTAAATCATTTAGGAGGTGGGATTTTGATCCCTTGTTTTGTTTAAGTAAAGCATATCGACACAATAATGCTCATTTAGTGCTGGGGAAAACCAAGAGAGACAGAACCACATGGAAAGTAAAGGAGGACCGTCCAGTCACGCTCTTCAACCACACGTGCTTCCGACCCTGTCTGTCAGGGCCATTCCTGGCTGAGAGGGATACAACATCTCAGTAGAATGACAAAGATACCCGATAATAATTTATTCCCATTTGGGAATTGAACTCGGGTCTCCTATGTGCCACAGAAGCACATAATTGCTGCATCACAGATGCTGGTGGGGGAAGTCAGTTGTCAGTTGGTCATTCATCCACACACACAGAAACAGACTTAACATTCACAAGCACACACACACACTCACACACGCACGCACACATGCATGCAAGCAAAAACATGCACACACACCAAACACACACACACGCAAGAAAAAGTGGGAGTGGCTGAGAGTCAACATGAGTAGATCCAACTTACGGGTATGGCCAGCACGAGAAGAGACTGCATGACCATGCCAATAAGGCCAATGAAAATCCTCGTTCTGAAGGCTCTGAACATCACTCGGCCAAAAGACGCCTCCTCTGTACCATGCACTGTTATTTCCTCAAGCCAGAATTTACCCATCCTGTGGAAATTTACAAAGTTCTATTAAGTATAAAACACACATATAATATTAAATATGATATACGTATATTGTACATCACACCCCCCCACCCCCCCCCCCCACACACACACATCTTAGCTACCTTCCTGCCAACTCTCCCCTCTTTTCTCCTCACTACTTCCCTCTCTCCCCTCCCCTCCCCCCCCCCTTTTTCTCCCCCCCCCTCCTTCCCTCTCCCCTTTCTCCCCCCTCCCTCTCCCCCCCTTTCTCCCCCCCTTCCCCTGTTCTTGTCCTTCCCACTCCAGTGCCAGAGATTAGAAGCGTTACAAGAGAGCAACAAAGACAAATAGAAGGAGGGGAGAAAAGGACTTAAATTTTTGGTAGGAAAGAAGGAGCAAACCACACCAGAGCACGCGCCAACCACCCACACATACAGAAACTACAGAGGGATAAAAGAAAAACAGAACCTACCAGTGGAGCCCTCAAACTACCTTTACGAAAGAAGGAGAGATAAGGACCCGATAGATGTTTGACATGAAAGAAGGAGAAAACCACACCAGAGCATCCGCTCATCACCCACGACATTTCAGCGGGAGCAGGGAGTGCATGTTATTATGTAACCATATATTATCTGTTGCATGCGAGCAGGAATTTATTTCACCACGCCCATGTTTATGTTTAATCCCAATCAAAAATTAAAAATACATTTTAACAAATTCAAACAAGCCAACACGCGTGCCTGCAAAAATGCACAGTCTATTACGCAACAGAAAGTACTAACAAAACACCCACTCAAAAAACAAAATGTAGGTATTTTTTTACGAACCCATCAACACAAGTAACATTTAGGAAGCGGGCTTCCGCATTGCCTGCCAGGACGAACCAGGGCTGAGGGATACAACGTCCCATGAGTAGGAAGACCGAGACGCTCGACAAAGATTCTTCCCACACGGGAATAGAAGTCAATTTACGTCTTTTGCACGCGATCGGAGAGTGCCTGACCGCTATAATAAAGGTGCTGGTATTAAAGCCATCTAGACATTAGAAACAATAAATGATTATATTTTTGGCAACCAACAGCTTTCGTTTAAAATAGAAAAAAAGCCACCTAGGCCATTTTTTTTAGTGAACAGCGGAATGTGCGTTGATTAAAAAGAAGAAAATGGACAAGATAATGGCCATTTAGCCCTGAGAAGAAATATTTTATGTGTAGCTTAGCTTCAGTAAGCGTTTTATGGCATTGGCAACACAATAAGGTCATATAAGTGCCGAAGATAAGATGTTACAACAGAGTAACAAACAAAAAAGAAGAGAATTGTAGTAAGAGTTTTACGACATTTGCAACACAATATGGTCATACGTCCTGAAGATTAGAGCAGGTATCACAAGAGAGTAACGAACACAAAAAGAAGGTGGAGCGATCAGAAGAGATACGTTTAATAGGAAAGAAGTAAACCACATCAGAGCACCCGCCAACCACTCGCAAAGGAGAGAAGGAGGGTAGGTGTTTGATAGGAAAGAAGAAGCAAACAACACCAGAGCACCCGCTAACTATCTACCACACGACTCGGAAAAATAAGGGGGGGGTTCTATCCTATCACGGCATCATCTTTATCATCCCAGGAAAAACAACAACATGTTTTTATAAGCATTTTAAGACACTTACAACACAATTAGGTCGTATTAGTGCCTAAGATTTGGTCTTACAAGAGAGTACCAAACACAAAAAATAAAGGATAGCTTGTTTATTTGTTTGAGTAGGTGTTTTACCGCACCACTGACTCAGTTTTGGTAAAGGAGGAGAGCATAAGGACGATCAATGTTCGATAGGGAAGGAGTAAACGACACCAAATCATCCGCCAACCACCGACCAGAAAAAATACATTATGACTGTAAAAAAATATTTGCACAACTCATTTGCACTACAAAGAAATTTTCCCCTTGTTCAGTCAGACATAGAGCTATATATCTAAATTCAGATGCGAGGCATCGTGGTGAAATCAGGCGTTCGTCAAAGTGAGGAAGTCGACAAAATCGGCATTTTCAGTGGGTTTGGCTCTTTAAATCGATTTTTTTATCATTGGCAAGACACCTTTGGCCTTCTGTCCATTTAAAAAACTGTGTTGATTTCACACACACATACACACAAATATACACACACACAATTGTAAATTTTCAGTTTCCAAGGACTCCGAAACTGAAAAATTATACTTTGACGGTCATTTTTGGGCTAATTTTACCTCTGAAACAAGGCGACCCTCACCTCCTTCAATCGCAAAATATCCCGGACTTCTATTCTCGATAGATAGGTAGGTTTTAAAAAAATTGAAAACGAGACAAAATGGACAAACGTTAAGCTATTACCAATAACTCTACGAGCTCAAAAATTAACGAGCACCTGGTTCTACCGCGTCGTGACAACTATATATTACGCAGATGCACCAATTGCCATCTAATTATGGAGAAGCAGACCAGAACACTGCCACAGCAAATCATTAGCAAGATTGAGTACATTGGCATATCTACACGATAACGGTCATTTGGTGCAGGGGAAAAAAACCAAGGCAGGTATGTCAGTGTTTTAGCGCACGTAAAATGGCAATGAGACAGTGAGAGACAGACAGACAGAGAGAGAAAGAGAGAGAAAGAGAGAGAGAGAGAGAGAGAGAGAGAGAGAGAGAGAGAGAGAGAGAATGTAATAGTGTAAATATAGTGCGTGTACAATGTGTGTCTGTAAGTGTGCATGGGTGTGTATGTCTGAGTTTGGATCTACTTCAAGCACGCATGATCAAGCGAATGTGGAAACAAAATTGTTAATTGCCACAGAAGTAAACCACGTGTTACATCTCTTATTGTATCTTCTTTTTCTTCTTCCTCTTCCTCTTCCTCTTCCTCTTCCTCTTCCTCTTCTTCTTCTTCTTCTTCTTCTTCTTCTTCTTCTTCTTCTTCTGACAGGCAGACCGAAACAACAGAAGGAAAGGAAAGTAAGACCTACCACTACCTATGAAGAGAAGCACATCGACGAGATGACAGTAATTTAGAGCGGGGAAGAAGAAGCAAGACCAACAGACAAACGAAATTTAAAAAAACCCAACAGAAGCCAACAGCATAAACAGCACCAGCAATAGCAACAACAAAAGAGCTGAGAGGGAGGGATATACGACATCCCGGCACAAAGACCGAGATACTCAATACAAATTCCCCCCCCCCCCCAACACGGGAGTCGAACTCGGGTCTCCTGCATAGTTTTAATAAGAGTTTTACGGAAAACATAATAAGGTCATAAGTGCCGAAAATTAGAGGTGTTACAAGAGTAACAAACACAACAAAGAAGGGGAGACCAGGACGATAGATGTTTAATAGGAAAGAAGGAACCACACCAGAGCACTCGCCAGCCACCCATTTGCGTGCAACGACGGTGCGCCACCACAAACGTCGGTTTGTGTGTGCGTGCGTGCGTGCGTGCGCATGCCTGTTAATGCGTGTGTATGAGTGTGTATATATATGTGTTTGTGAGTGATTGTGTATGAACGTGTGTGTACGTGTATGTGTGTATGTGTGTATGTGTGTATGTGTGTGTGTGTATCTGTGTGCGTGTGTGTGTATGTGTGTATGTGTTAACTATGTGTGTATGTGTGTACGTGTGTATGTGTGTGTACGTGTGTACGTGTGTATGTGTGTACGCGTGTACACGTGTACGTGTGCATGTGTGTTAACTATGTGTGTGTATGTGTGTATTTTTTTAGTTTTAGTGTTTTACGGAATTTACAACACAATAAGGTCATATTATAAGTGCCGGAGATTAGGTGTCACAGGAGAGTAACAAACAAAAAAGGAGGAGAGCAAATTCGGACGATAGATGTTTGATAGGACAGAAGAAGCAAACCACACCAGAGCACCCTCTAACCACCCACTGTGTGTATGTGTGTATGCATATGTATGTATGTGTGTAAGTATGTGCGTGTGTATACATGTATGTATGCGCGTACGCGTGTGTGTATGTGTGTGTGTGTGTGTGCGTGTGTGTATACGTGTGGGCGTCAGTGCGTATGGGTGTATGTGTGTGTATATGTATGTGCATGTGCATGTGCATGTCCATGTGCATGTGTTATGTGATATGTGTTGTGTGTAGGTGTGATGTGTGCGCCCGTGTGTGCACGTGTAAGTGTGGAAAAGGAGGGGGGGGGGGATGCACCCACACGTATCACGTTACAGAGCGGTAGACCATGACATTGTCTCACAACATACATTAATAAAATTAGCGTAGTCCGTATCAATGAATCGTAAACGTAGAACCTAATACTTTTTCAGTTTGATTTCGCAGAAATTAGAAGTAAACGTTCAGCAAAACAGTTTTAGTAAGAGTTTTGCGGCACTTGCAACACAATAGGTAATATATAGGAAAACACTTGTTCTTGTTTTTGAATAAAGAGAAACACTGATTGAAGGAAAAAAAAGACAGGAAAGAAAAACGTCGACATAATGACGTTCATTCAATGCAGGGGGAAAAAACATACAGAAACAACAGGAACAAAGTAAGACTTAGCAACACCCTTCTGCCACCCGCCCGCTAAATTAATTTTTCCTTAAATAGAAAGGCTTGGACCAAATACGTGAAGTATAAAAGATTGTACACTTTCATAACAGTAATTTTCGGAACCCCCACCCAACATATTCTCGAAATGAGAGCATTTTTGACATGTCGACCAATGAAGACTCGCTAACAACGGAGTCACCAGAAAATGGAGACGAAAGCAGACGACAGAACATTGCTAGAGATCAGAAAAGGAGGTGAAAGCAGACACTTTTAGAGAAGAATTTTTTTTCCGTCGCTATCCGGCTTCGAACACGGGACCTTTGAATGTGAGGGCGAACACCGTAACATCTAGGACACGAGAACCTTTGTAAAATCTAATTAAAAATTCCGGAGAAAGGCTGTTACAAAGTTCCCATTTTCGTCTTTGTCTCTCTTGACCTATCAATACAATTTAATTAACTTGCTCCCCTCCACTTTGTCCATCAATACCGTACTATTGGGCTCCAAAAGTGGTCGATGCCACAGATTGGTGGCACATTTATTAAAGTAAACAAAGGAGGCCGCGTCGACTGTCTATACTACAGGAACTGTATATCATGATGCTGTGGATTCTGGAGTTCGAGCTCAGATCGGTCCGACGTTGTGTCCTCGGGAAAGCACTTTACATGAATTTTCCCATTTCGCTCGGCCCTATCGAAGACGGACATTACATTCGGGGGGGGGGGGGGGGGGGGGGCACCTCTTAAACAACCATACAGTGTTGCAAAGGGCGTTAAGCCTATACAATTTCAATTTTAAAAAACGGTTGTACTCGTATTTGGAAACATGACCGGTTCATAGTATAAAGGACCCTGTGAAAGAACGTCAGTTGACCATAATAATTGTTTCTGTAGCTCCTGTCTCCTCTCTCCTCCCACGCTGTCTTGTATTGAAAATAAGCCTATTAAAATTTTCTGTAACTTACGTGTGCAGTTAGCGTATAGGAACGCCGCGCATTGCGAAATGCCGACATGATGAAAAGATATATACCGAAAGACTATCCGACACCGACATTATCATCAGGGTGACCTCAGCGTCGAAACATGCAAATCCAAGCATTAATTTATGTATAGACGTGCACGTCAACACAACAAGCGACACTTAGTGCAGCAAAATAGCAGGACAAAGAAACAATAAAGGGAAATGAAATAAGTTGGACCTAATTAACCGTGGTGCCCCCAAAGACCCGGCAGCAGCTCCGAATTACAAGCGCATACCAAACCAACAAATCCACGATATGTCATGCTGGTTTTGTTTGAGTAGACAGAAGAACATCGACACAATAACGGCCTTTTAGTGCTGGGAAAAAGACAGAGGGAAAGTAAAAAAGTAGGACCTATCAGTGGCGCTCTCCAGCCACCCGCAATGATAAATGGGTAGATGTAGATTTCGATCTCCTCCCCCCCCTTCCTCAAACATTTTGAAAATAAAAGCATTTCTCGCATGACTTCATGGCGAGCAAACAAAAGTGAAGAATCTGAATGTGAACAGTTGGTCGAATAAGTTATTTTCACAAAGTAACTATTCAAACCGTTGTTTGAATCACTAGTTTGTGACTTTAGGGAAGACAAATATGCACACAAGTCTTACAAGTACAACAAGGTACCAACTAAACGAATAGAATGTAGTTTTAATTAAAAAACGAAGAACTTTATTTGGACTAGTGGGGTGGGAGTTACTTTTTCTAACTAATAGAAAAAAGGTTATACGAGGAAGAATAGGACTGAGTATAGGCGTTAACTTTCAGCAAAAACATAGCTAGACGAGAAATAAATACTGACACTCTCGACTACAGATTATATAGCATGCGTATATTCAAGACAGTGATCGCCTGTGGAAAGAAGCAATAACAAGAACAATATCAAATCAAGATGCTATAGTAACTAAAACACGTTGTAGGCCTAGTAATTGGTAGGCCTAGTAATTGGTAGGCCTAGTAATTGGTAGGGTACCCTTGCCTTGAACTAAGTAAGACTGACTCTGCTTTCAGTTAACACAAGGAAAATTACCATGCACTCTGCAATGTTTCTGGGCTGTGACACACACACAGTAGATTCCAACAGTAGAATGGCGTGATAGACTAGATTTTTTAATAACAGTACTTGCACAGGTCAGGATTCACTGTATTGTTAATTTGTCTGGAGGTCACTGGGTTTAACGTTCAAGGTACATGCTGGGATTACAGTTCAAAGTTCACACTGGGATTACAATTCAAAGTACACAATGGGTTTACAATTCCCAGTACAAAGGTCTGTGGTCTTCACAGGAGGACAACAAACGAAACTGGTGCCGAGGAGGCACAGCCTGGAGCAAGACATTGCCCAGGAAACGGGTGCCGAGTTGGCACAGACAGGAGCAAGACATTGCCCAGCTTAAAACAAGCGACGCGGGTGCCCAGTAGGCACAGACTAGAGCAAGACATTGCCCAGGAAACGGGTGCCGAGTTGGCACAGACAGGAGCAAGACATTGCTCAGCTTAAAACAAGCGACGCGGGTGCCCAGTAGGCACAGACTAGAGCAAGACATTGCCCAGGAAACGGGTGCCGAGTTGGCACAGACAGGAGCAAGACATTGCTCAGCTTAAAACAAGCGACGCGGGTGCCCAGTAGGCACAGACTAGAGCAAGACATTGCCCAGGAAACGGGTGCCGAGTTGGCACAGACAGGAGCAAGACATTGCTCAGCTTAAAACAAGCGACACGGGTGCCCAGTAGGCACAGACTAGAGCAAGACATTGCTCAGTCTAACACTTCGCACAAGCAAAACGGGTGCCAAGCAGGCACAGACAAGAGCAAGACATTGCTCAGTCTAACACGGGTCCTACACTAAGGACTGGAGTATAAGGAACACGACTGGTCCCCGAGTGGATCAAACCAAGACTCGCGAGGTTTTTAGTGCTCATAGTAGTTATAGTTGAGACAAACATTCCCACTATGCCAGGAGTCACGGTTTCTCACGTTAGCGTGGGACATGGCGTAAGATGATTATCCCCCCGTCCGTTCCTTCCCCAAAAGCAATAAGCACATCGGTGCCACAATACCATGAGTATCACATGTATACCATTTTGCAACAGTTATGAATAGGAGGGTTCAATTTTACTTTTACCCCTTGTTTTAGTTTTAGTTTAGTATGGGGTTTTACGGACCTCGCAATAGCATAAGGTCATATGAGCGCGCGAAACACAAGTTAGTTTTTTATTCGCAGTTCACTGCACGGCTGGGAACGGGTCATTTGATCTTAAAACGTTAAAATATTTAAAATTTGGTGTAGATATATAATTTCAATCTAAAACAACTTTCATAAAAATTTTTAATAATTCAATTTTGTTCTTCACAACAATTTTCCATAAAGGCCAATGGCCTTCATAAAATCCAAAATTCTGTTGGGACCAACGACGGAAAAAATGTCTTGCAATTTTTCGCATTTAAAGTATTTCCTTCGGATCTCTTCAAAGTTTAGACATTCGGTTAAAATGTGTCTAATGGTAAAATCTGTGTTGCATCCGACACAGAACGGCTTCTCATCTCCTTGTAGGAGGTATTTGTGTGTCAGGGCCGTGAGTACGATGCGTAATCGAGTAAAAATCACTTCATCTCTTCTAGAGGTCCGAAGGATTTCGCGGACCCAGTTTGGGTTTAATATTATAGAGTTTGTTACTCGTCTGTTTTTCCCAGTGGCTCTCCCACAGACTGGATTACCCCTTTTTTCTAAGCCCCTAACCAACTTTGCGTATAAGAAGGAATGAGGTTACGTTGGCAAAAAAAATCTGAGTAAAGAGAGCCACTTGACAATAAAGGTCATTCAGTATTAGGAAAGAGTAAGACAGAAACAACAGAGGGAAAGTAGAGTTGGACCTACCGGTAGTGCCCTCCAACCACTCACTAGAAGTCTTTACTTCGGTTTATTGTTTTATTTCATTTTTTTTTCAGTAGAGGGTTTTATGGCGCTCGCAATTGCATAAGGTCATATGAGCGCCAAGGGGTGGGTGTCGACAGAGAAGTCTTTACAGGGAATCAGACTTACTCTGCCCACCTCTCTAGCTTCAACAGCACAAGGTCTACTTCGACTATCAAGGCACTCCTGAACAAGCGGGTCACAAGAGTGTGACAAACATACAAAAGAAGTAGAGGAAAATGACAATAGTAAGGATTAGGAAAGAAAAGGTAGCAGTTCCTTGTTGTAGATCAGGCACAATTATGAGCGTGACATGATGAATCAGCCCATTTACAATTCTACTATACCAGCCAGCCAACCCACCAACCAGTCTTAACTTCTAGCAGTTAAGGAGGAGACTAGCTTTTCCTTCTGCCGGACATACGAGCATCACACTTGTAATAGTTATTGCGCTTCATCTCTCTCTCTCTCTCTCTCTCTCTCTCTCTCTCTCTCTCTCTCTCTCTCTCTCACTCTCTGATCTCTCACTCTCTCTCTGATCTCTCACTCTCTCTCTGATCTCTCACTCTCTCTCTTATCTCTCACTCTCTCTCTTATCTCTCACTCTCTCTCTTATCTCTCACTCTCTCTCTCTCTCTCTCTCTCGTTCATTCTCTCTGATCTCACTCAAACACACACACACACACACACACACACGCACACACACACGCACGCTCAAACACACACGCACACACACGAACGTGCAAACACACAAAAACACACAAACACACACGCGCATATACACACAGACACACGCACGCACAAACACACAAACAGACACACAAACACACGTACACACACACACACACACACACACACACCGCCTCACCTGCGAGCCCCGGCGTCCGCGCTGTCCTTGTGTCTCATCTCCAGCCCCCTGATCTCGTCCACGCCCCTCTTGTACACCCGCCACATATAGCGCGTCAACCAGGCGAACGTGATGAAGCTCAAGAACCCGATGCTGTCCAGAGGAAGCGCATTCTCCGGACTATTTTGTTTGAGTAAAAAAAATTAATTACATCGACACAAAGGTCATTTCGTTTGCGTATATTATAAGGAAAGAGAAAGAGAGGAAAGCAGAGAAGGAGATGGGAGGACAACATCGCAAAGTGGTCACGGAAGACGATGGGTGACAATAATATGAGGAAAGCAGAGGACAAAGAGAAATGGCGAGAGCTGGTTTTCAGAAGCAGTGGTGCCCCCACGGTTTCCCCAACCACGGGATAGGAGAAGAAGATATTTTAATAAGACGTAACTTTACGGGTCATAATATAAGTGCCAAACACTACGGGTCATATAAATGTGAATGTCAAAGATTAGTGTTACACGTGAGTAACAAACACAAAAAGGAGAGAAGAGGACGATAGATGTTTGATAGGAAAGAAGGAGCTAAACCACACCAAAGCATCTACAAACTACCCACTGAGTAAAAAAGAAGAACATCGACACATAAACGGTTATTTATTGCAGAGAAAAAGTAAAACAGAAACAGAGGGAAAGAAACGAAGTGGGACCTACCAGTGGCACCCCGCAACCCCACATTCTCCGGTCTGTAATATTGATTGATTTGATTATTTGGTTCATTAATGACGAAAAACTCTCTCTCTCCAAAATTGAGCAACATATTGTCGGCCAGCAGTTAAAGTGTCAAAAGTAAAGCTGTTTCCGCATCCGATCCGGACATTGGGGATTGCCTTATTAGTGAAACAACTTCATGGGCCTTCGGCATATTGTGGTAGGGTGGCCAGTTCCTTTCCACACCACCTTTACTTCCCCAACTCGAAGTCAGGTACCCATGGGCCATTATTGGTGGGTGGGCAGGTGGGGGCGAAAAAAATCCGTGTTCGAACCGAGGCTCGAACCCGGACTTCCCGCTTCGGAGACGAGCGCACTAACCGCCCCGCCACCGCACCCTCAGTTAAAGTGTACTTAGCCCAAAATTTTGAAAACTCATTGCAGTTTCTCAATGAGTTATCGGTTGCGTTTGCTCAAATTTGGTAAAAATTCACATTCTAAATCTTAAAACAAGAAGCACGTTCAACTCAATTTGCTGAAAGTTTCTCTCTACTGTAAAAATATTGCTTTCTCGGCTTAGTACATTTTAACAAGGAAATAACTTATCTGCAAACTTATGTCACTCCGTAGGAGACAGACACAGCAATACTCACTATTTTGAGCAGCGCAAAGGTAAGAGCGTCTTGAGGGCTTGCGAGTACCGCCATGTTCCACCTTGTCGGACATTCACTGTCGGCTCGTCTGTCTCCCCTCTTTTCGATGACGAACTGAAGAAAAAGAAGGGAAAAAAAGCACCCGCAGCGTTGTTAGTCTCCAAGATTTGTAACATTTATCGCATTTCTTTCCGACAACAAACTGAAGGAAGAAAAAGCAACAAAACAACTCACAACTCGATTTTTTAACGTTATGTCGTCTTTCTTTTCAATGATAAACTGACGAAAACCCCCACCCCCAAAAACAACAACAACAACAACAACAACAACAACAACAACAACAACAACAACAACAACACGAACAGCCTTTATTAGTCTCATAGATTTGTAACAATGTGTGTTTTTCATGTTAGTCTCTGTAAACTTTGTTTGTGTATGTCGGCCAATGGGTACCTAGATCTAGATTTGTAGCACGATGGGATATAGAAAAATAAAACAAGGAAAAAATTATTAGATTTGCATACAATCATGATTGGGCATGGTATTTTACGGCACTATCGACACAAATTTGGCCATGTAAGCGGTAAAGAAACAATGCAGTCGCAAACTTATTTACTAAAAGGACGGACAAACAAGTCTTGGTAAATATGGCAACAATTTTACTTACTGCACATTTTTTTAAAAGTTGATTTTTTACGGCGCTCGCAACTACAAAAGGTCATATGAGCGCCAAGGGATGGATGTCAACAGATAAGTCTTTACAGGGAATCAGCCTTACTCTGCTCACCTCTCTAGCTTCAACGGCACAAAGTCTGCTTCGACTATCAATGCACTCCGGAAATAAAGGGTCACAAGAATGTGATAAACGTACAGAGGGAGTAGAGGGAAAATTACGATAGTATGGATTAGGAAAGAAAAAGCAACAGTTCCCTGTTGCAGTTCAGGCACAGTTATGAGCACGACATTGATGAAGCAACCCATTAATTACAATTACAATTCTGTGCATAAGAACATGGTTAATGTCCCCCTTTTGGGAATGGCCTAAAGACACTCCAGTCAGTAGCACCGCCCGGGGGGCGGGGGTATATGTTAGCTGTAATGTATATATTATATAATATGAAACTATATTTTTGAAGTTATCCAATTTCTTTCATTAAGTTTAAAATCTAATCGACAATATCAAATTTTTTACATCTTTACACCCTAAATATTTATCACCAATCGAAACACCGTACTAGATAGTGTTGATCAGTAAAAATTTGTTAATTTTTGTTTATGATATGCTTGTTTCCAATTTTGAGTCTTGTGAAAATAACTTTCTTTTCGGGAACAGACGCCGGTTTCATGGGTGTCAGCTTCGGATGGATGTAATGGATTTTGTCTTTTATTTGCTGGTCCCACATTTTGGTCCAGACGGATGTAATGCGTTCTTAAATTTTGGGTTTCACGTCAGAGAACGGAATTTTATTATTTTCATTTTCAGGAAGATTCTTTGGCAAAGCGCTCAACGATCTCAAAGCCAGTAATACCTATATGGCTTGGAAGCTAAGCTATTGTAAAGGTCTGTGAGATAGATGTAATAAATGAAGTTTAATTAGGAGTTTTAGAATTCTAGTGTTATGTGTCAAGAGTGTTTTGAAGATTTTTATACAGGGCAGAGAATTGGAAAGTTTAGAAAAGATTTGGTGGATTTTTCTATTATGGTCAGGGCTTTTTTCGAGAGCGGCAGCCTTAGCAGTGTGGAATGAGGCTTCTGGGTGGAGTTTTTTTAAAGCTTAAGCTATGTGTCTCTGCAAGGGCAGCAGCACCTACTGAGCTATCATTTTTGGATCCATCTGTAATAAAGTTTCTCTGCTTTATAAGTTGTTTGCATGTTTTTAGGTATGTAGTTTGCTCGGTAGACTGTGTTTTTCAAGAATTGGGCACATGGTCAGATATTTGTAAAAAGTGAAGTGTTCAACATGCCCCTCCACTGACAATCTAGATCATTAAGAAGGTGGGCTTCAGACTCTGCCTGTAAAGTCCAACACGGGCTGAGAGATAGAACATCCCAACAGAAAGACCGAGATACTTGATAGAAATTATTGTCCTCACATGGGATTAGAAGATTTTCTGCGTGCAACGAAGCTCGTGTTCATAATGATAATACATGTAATTATGCTAAAAGAACATTTTTCATTGCACTACCTTACGAGCTGAAGGAATATGTCGTGATGAATTAATAGGTCCCGGGAGGATGAACGGTAGACGGTCGGTGTGGTCTATTGGTTATACCGGTAAGGCTCCCGGACTCGCAACCGTATGGTCGTAGGTTCGATTCCCATCAGGGGCCTGACGTTGTGTCATTGGGAAAGGCAATATATACACGAATTTACCTCACTTCACCCAGGTGGGAATGGGTGCCCGGCTATAATCAGCGAAAGATCTTGTAAGTGTTTGAGCGCGTGCGAAATGTATGCTTCCCAGGAAGCCGAGAATTTTTCTGAGTGTTCTAGGGCCGGCTGAAGTAGTGACTGTAAAGAGTATAGTTTATTATTATTAGTATTTTTATACTTAGTATCATCAGTATCATTATCCTTATTATCACTTTCATTATAGACGTCCAGTGAGAGAAACAAGTATAGCAGCATTTCTAAGCTGACGTAAAAACCTAACCCAGTCACTCTGTATGAGAGTCTTTTTTATCTTTTTTTTTGTGTGAAATTTTACTGCGCTCGCAACTGCATAAGGTCACATGAGCGCGCGGGACACATTAAACATTTTCAGTTGATAGGATGGAATTTTGAATTTGGCCCGGGTGGCGGCCGAAGCCTACTCTTATCGATTTTGGACCACCAAGGGATCTTTAACGTGCTCAACTTGCACACGGGACCTCCGAGATTTTTCGCCCTTGTCCGAGAAGGCTATGTGTAGATCTTTCCTATCAGAAGATCAGGGGTGTGGTTGAAAGACAGTAGTAAGAAGGAGCCAAGGAGTAGCAGCAGAAAGGCTTCAGAAAGAGTCAGGAGCCCAGAGGAGGGGGGCAAGGGAGGTAAGGGGGTGGGGGCAGAAAGTGGAGACGAAAGCAGACGACAGAACATTGTTAGAAAGTGTAAAAGGGTGTGACAGGGGAAAGTTTTAGAGAAGAACATTTTCCGTCGCTATCTGGATTTGAACTCGTGACATACTGAATGAGAGGCGAACACCTTAACCTCTAGGCCACAAGAGCCCCCACAAGGAAGTCTATTTCGACGCTTGTTTATAACTAATAAAGAGTACATCGGCACGATTACGGTCTTTTCGCGCTGTGAAAAGTAAGGGACACTTATGTTGTGGCGGCTGCATCGACCCTGCTTGTCAGGGCCAACCTGGGCAGAAAGGGATACAACGTCCAAGCAGAAAGACTCGATAAGATTTTCCAAACACGGGAATCGAACTGTGTCTTCTGCGTGCGAAGGCAAAGTGTCTGACTGCTACACCATCAGTAAGGGGGGCTTACTGCAGAAGAAAAGTAAGATGAACAGATAGAAACAGAAAAGAGTAGGACCTGACAGCGACACCATCATCCAACCGCTTATTTTTCGTTTTGCTAAAACTTTTATGGCACTTGCAGCACAAATAGGTGATTAAGTGCAAAAGACAGTAACACACAAAGATGTTTTTAAACGGAGAGACAAGGACGATAGATGCTTGATAGGAAAGAAAGAGCAGACCACACCAGAGCGCCGGCCGACCACCTACTAGCCGACGTCACTAAAAGATTTAGTATTGTAATAAACAGTACAAGTTATGCGAGAAAGTCAATCTTACATATATCCAGGTATTTCTACATCTCTATACATACATGCATGAACTGATTTAAAGACGGTATCGTCTTTGAGTATTAGTTGAATAATGAATTTCATAGGGCAAAGTTACTACATGTACTTTCTTGTGAGCATGTCGGTGTTTGTTTGAATGCCTGAGTGAGGTATTTAGGCCACAATTGCAGTGGAGCAACGATATTTAGAGCCCCTAACAAAATTCAAATCTTATGGTAGGTTTAAAAACCTAAAATTTGGAGTTCCTTGCTCCAAGACCTCAGAGAAAAATCCTTATACTTTTAAGTGTTTTAAGTCTTAATTAGGTGCTGATGTGTCTTGTTTTGAGTGATGTCACGTGTAAAAAAATCTTGTATGGCTAAGAACTTCCTTATGTGGTTGAATTGGTATACTGTTTTATATTTGAAATTTGTTTGTGTGTGAGGCTTTATTCTCAGTAATCCTGTCACCAATGTAGTAAAGCCCTCAAGCTTATAATTGGTATAAATGGTATGGGTTTAACGCCCCTATCAACACTATTAGGTTATTTAAGGGGCGGGACCTCCTAGTTTAACGTCCGTCTCCGATAGGGCCGAGCCAAGTGGGAAGTTCGTGTAAAGTGCCTTTCCCAAGGACACAATGTCGGACCGAGCTGAGGCTCGAACCCCCGAACCCGCAATCTCACGATTACGAGTCCGGTAGCCTAACCACTAGCTTATAATTGGATAGAGTGCTATATATATATAAATCCAATATAGCACAACAATAACAATTATTACTGTTATTATTATAATTGTTGAAGTATCATCATCATCATCATCATCATCATCATCATCATCATCATCATCATCATCACCCCCACCATCACCATCATCATCCCATCACCACCATCACCATCACATCATCACTATCATCATCCAATTACTAACATCATGATCAACATCACCAGCATCATCATCATCATCATCATCACAACACTGACGACTTGGAAGCTCTTCAGTTCAGGCGTGACAGGACGGACCCTGCCCCCCTCTCAGATTTCACATACATAGTATCTTAGTACATAATACTCCAATGTAAGTGCTTTGCGTCCTTTCGAAACAATATAGAACAGTTAGGGGGTAGGCGTCGACCTTGCCTGTCAGGACCAACCCGGGCTGAGAGGGATATATATATATACGTCCCAGCAGAAAGGCCGAAAAACTCAAATTCACATGAGAATCTAATTCGGTCTTGTTCATGCTCCTAACCGCGACACCAGAGACGCTGATCGTCCGAGTCAAAATCATACATGGGGCATAAAAAAACCTGGACAAGAGTCATTGCAACAAGCAAGCTCACTCAAACGGCAAACACTCCAATCTCCTGTCCCTTCCTTCTGTTCCCTGCTTTCAGTCTGGTCTGGAATGTCAGTCAGTCTATAGATCTATCCGTCTATTTCTCTGTCTGGCTTTTAAGTGGTATGGTATGTCTGTTCACTTGTCCGTCTGTTTTCCTATCTCTGTCACTTTTTCTTTCTGTTGATGTCCCTGCCTCTGCATATCCCTGTTCCTGTCTGTCTTTCTGTCTCTCTCTCTCACTCTCTCTCTTATCTCTCTCCTCTCTCCTCTCTAACCCATCTCCTATCTCCCATCTCCTCTCTCTCTCTCTCCTCTCTCAATCTTTATCACACACAAACACAGTCTCCCCCTTCTTTGCACACACACACACAACCCACAGGATAACGCATAACACTCACCTTTCAGTCTCTTCCTCAGGGGGCTCGATGACCGACGCGCTTAGCATAGAGTTATCCCCTGCTTCGGCTCGACGTAAAAACGTCTCCCCTTCTTCATCCGCCATTCTGGGATAGTCCACTGAAAAACAAATCACACAAATTGTTTCGTATCCTAAAATGGAAGCCCAGCGTACGTGAATATCACTTCTTAACACTCATGCAAAATCCCTTATCACCGAGGCTTGGACAAGCGATGGGGTGATCGACTCTTGACGCTGCGTCACAACTTTGTGCGTCGACTGAAGGGAAGTGTTCGAAGCCCAGACTCGAAATGACACCAGGCACACTTTTAAACGACGAACTTTTCCTCGAAGGCTATCCTCGAACGACCAACTTGCCGTCTCTTTCGAACGTCGTAATTTTGTTCTCGATACGAACAGTATTCTATGTTTCCGATTTTTTGGTGTTGTGTGACATTCAGTGACAACGAACACACATCTTCTCGGTTAGAACGAAAATCACTTCATAACCAAGACTCACGAGGCCATGGTATAAAAAAACTGCGAATACCGGTATCGAATCACCAGAAAATTGCCGACAAGAAGTTCGTCTTTCCGAAGATTTTAGATTAAATGATTGTGAATAATAGTTCCGTCGAAAGAAGGTTCGCCAGTGACACCACCATACAGATGCAGACTGGTTACGTCCCCAGGGGCGATAACACACATGTAGACATCCGACGTGAGGAGTTGTAACAAGGCTGGTTTTGGCAGCTAGGAAAATTAATCGAAGAAGCTGTCACTGCCAAATTGGTTTAGATCTACTACAAAATCCGAATACCGGCTGCTTTAGCCGAAGTAGAAATACAGCCCAACTGGAACTTGAGAAGACGTATTCGCCACATCCACAATTTCAGATTTAGGACACAGAGCTGGGGCAGATAGTGTTGATCAAGAAAGAGAAATGACATAGGCAACCGTAGGTAGTTTCGAGTCGCCTGTCTGTATGGCAGCAGTGAAGAGTGGTCTTGAAATCTGAAACGAATTATGGAATAATAATATGAGTGAATTAATCTCAAACAATTTGTCTTTTCCACCTGCACCTTTGGTATGGGATGGGTTGACTTTGAGTAAAGGAAATAATAATTGACTCAATAATGGCCGTTAGAGCAGGGAAATAGTAAAACAAACAGGCAGAAACAATACAGGGACATTCGTTTGAGTAAAAAGAAGCACATCGATAAACAGTAAGACAGAGGGAACGTAAAGTAGGACCTACCAGTGGCGCCCTCCAACCACCCGCAGTAGAGGGAACGTAAAGTAGGACCTACCAGTGGCGCCCTCCAACCACCCGCAGTAGAGGGAACGTAAAGTAGGACCTACCAGTGGCGTCCTCCAACCACCCGCAGTAGAGGGAACGTAAAGTAGGACCTACCAGTGGCGTCCTCCAACCACCCGCAGTAGAGGGAAAGAAAAGTGGGACCTACAAATGACGTCTTCCAAAAGGACCTACAAATCGCACAGCTGAAAGGTTGAACATACATATACACACACTGCTATATCATTTCAGAGACATGGCCTCTACTGTTGTTGTCCATCTTCAATATAACTGAGCTAAGCTTGTAGATGGCATTGCAATGGTAAATGGTGAAATGGTATTGGTTTAACACCGCTATCAACACTATTAAGTTTAAGAGGCGGGACCGCCAAGTTTACTGTCCATAATAGACAATACTGAAATATAATATGACTATAATATAGGCTTTTGTTTTAGTAGAGGTTTCACGGCGCTCGCAACAGCATAAGGTCATATGAGCGCCAGAAGATTAGAGGTGTCACAAGAGAGTAACAAACATAAAAGGGGAGATAAGGACGATAGATGTTTGATAGGAAAGAAGGAGCAAACCACACCAGAGCACCCGCCAACCACCCAATTAATATAGGCAATGGCAAACCACTGCTGTAATCTCCCAAGAACAAAAATGGAAAAGAAATCTAAATAGTACATGATGAAGCCCACGTGGGACGCTCAGTGTTTAAAACAACCAGTAAGCAGTATTTGGGGCCCCTGAATAGACATAAAGGTCTTGAACATCTACCTCTCACTAGTAAAATTGAAGGCAAACGAGGCAAGGACATCCTACCTAGGGAACCTAAACAAATGGGTAACGGGGAAAGATCAAGAAAACGTAGCTTTTTAAGAGCACCTGAGCAAAGGAATGAATGGAGAACCATGATCGTCGATGTCTGCCGCAGATCTGGCACTGGATGAAGGCATATTATAACCACAAGGGCAACCGGCGTCAGGTGAGCTAGTTCTACTCGTCTACTCGATAACGGCCATTAAGTGTAACGGAAGAAAGTGAAATTAAGTGTGTGTAAATGGGTTTAAAGCCCCTAACAACACTTTCAGGTTAAAAGGTGGCACCTCCGAATTAACGTCCGTCATCGATAGGACAGAGCCAAAATTGATTGAGAGCCTCAAAATCAACACAAAACGACCCTTGTTCCAGAACGTTCAGTTTGGGATTTGAACCCGGGGCCATCCACTCCGTAGTCAAGTATGATACCAAAAAAAGAGTGTCGCGCAAAAAAGCAACAACAACAACAACAACAACAACAACAACACTTAGACAAGAGGGAAAATGGAAGACCTACTTTCGGCGGCCTGTGACGAGTTGACGAGTATCAGATTATATTCACAAACCGGATAATGAGGCCAAAAAACCCCCCAAAAACAACAAGTCAAAGAACTCAAAGCAACCAACACACGAGAAGAGGCGAAGGACGCAACAGAGTCAATGTTTATCAACCACTTTTTAAAGATTAAGTAGGTCAAGAGCAAATTGTTCTACATATTACATCGCTTTATGAAGAAGGACGCGGAGCAAGCGTCCCCCTCCTCCCCCCACCCTAAAAAAATAATTCAAATTTAGTTTGAGTAAAAGTTTTATGGTACTTGCAACACAGACCATAAAGTGCTGATGATTGATTGAGTACGTGTTTCACGGCACTATCGACTCGGTTTGTGCTGATGATTAGAGGTGTTACTCGAGAGTAACATACAAAGAAAAGAAGGAGATAGGAGGGCGAATGATGCTTAATGGGAAAGAAGGAGAAGACCACACCAGAGCACCTACTCACCACAAGCATGTCCAAGCGATTCCGATTATCTCGCGGGCCGGATATAGCGATTTCGAATAGATCGCGGGACAACTCAGAGAAAATTTATAGGATAAAATCGGATGAAACACGCAATCTATCAAAACTGAGACCTAAATACTTAAACTTTAGCATAATATTTCTCTCAAGGGGATTTCGTGAGATAAAAATTGGACAAAAAATGAGATCTCTCGCTTCCAACTGGTCTGGAAACTAAGCCTACCATTTTATTTTTCATGGCGAACACACTTTTAAGAAAAAGCTCGTCAACTACCCAAAGCTAGAAGGAGGAGAGATATTTTTTTTCGTAAGAGTTTTACGGCACTTGTATCACAATAAAGTCATATAAGTGCCGAAAAATAGATCTATTACAAGAGAGTAACATATACCAAAAAGAAGGAGGAGATATAAGGACGATAGATGTTCGATAAGAAAGAAGGAACAAATTACACAAGAGCACCCTCCAAACACCCACTTGTACGATGATCAGATTAAGGGTGGACGCAGAAGCAAACCGCAAAGTTTGTAGTTTTAGTAAGAGTTGTACGGCACTTGCAACACAATAAGGTCATATAAGTGGCGAAGATTACAGGTGTTACAAGGGAATAACAAACACAAAAAAGGAGGGGAGATAAAGATGATAGATGTTTGATGAATGGGACATTAAACCTTTTGGTAACGCTTATTCTGTGGTTTTTTAAAAATCACGATTACGCACGTTTTCCTATACCTACATCGACATAATTAAGATTAGAACATAGAGAGGGTTTTGACCGTCAACCCAATAAGATCAATACTCTTTGCCCAGGTCAAATGGTCAATAAAAAAACCGAAAAACCCGTAATGTTTTGAACTCACAGCCGCCGCCGTAACATGCCTTTCTAATATGATGATGATGATGATGATGATGATGGTGGTGATTGATGATGATGATGGTGATGGTGACGGTGACGATAGTGACGAAGACGGTGGTGACGGTGGTGGTTGTGATGGTGGTGGTATGGTAACTGCAATTAAAAAAAAAAAACCCAACAAAACAAAAACAAACAAGAAAACATGAAATATAAAACTGGCATTATCGCCCTCCACCCCCCCCCCTCCTGCGCTCACCTTCTTCAAAAGCCAATGATTGTCCCAAAGGACTGGTTTGGTTTTTTTGGCACTTGCTACACAAGTAGGTCATATACGTGCAGACAATTAAAAATATTACCATAGTCTAGAATGCAAAAAAAAGGGGAAAAAGAGAAAAAGGAACGGAGCTAAAAACAAATATTTTATTTTTTAAAAAGTGAACCCGCCAACGATCCACATCCGTTTGAGTAAAGAAAAGCACATCGATACAATAACGCACATCTGGGGCATGGGAAAAAGTAAGGCAGACAGACAGGAGAAACAAAGAAGCAGTAGAAAGGCCTACCACTAGTGCCCTCCAATTATCCGCTTGAATGACTAAATGTAATTTTGCGTAAAGGGGGTATCGCATTCTCAGTATTTTATCACAAAGAAGACAGACAGCCAGTTTTAGCTGACAGTGCGATGCCCCCTTGACTGGCCTGTCTGGTTTTTGTTGAGTCCGGCTGGTCGCACGGTTTGCAAAGCGTACGGCCCGCCGACGATTTTAAAAAAAATGTATCACTTTAGTTTTACAACACAATAAAGTCATATAAGTGTCGAACATTAGGTGTTACAAGAGAGTAACAAACACAAAAAAGAAAGAAGAGACAAAGACGATAGATGTTTGATAGGAAAGAACAAGCAAACCTCACCAGAGCACCCGTCAACCGCCCACAATCATGTTTCAACTTATTGAAAACTCTTATCATAAAAATATCCATTCGGAAACAGCGTGTCAAAAGTACATTTAACTATCGGGTGACTTTTTCTTGTTGGATTTTGTTTGTTTAGTATAGGGTTTTACGGCGCTCGCAACTGCATAAGGTCATATGAGCGCGCGGGACACACCTAATACTTTTTCGTTGGTAGGAAATTTTGAATTTTGCCCGGGTGGCGGCCGAAGCCTACTCTTATCGATTTTAGACCACCAAGGGATCTTTAACGTGCGCAACTTGCACACGGGCCCTCCGAGATTTTTCGCCCTTGTCCGAGAAGGCTAGGTGTAGATCTTTCCTACCAGAAGATCAGGGGTGTGGCAGAAAGACAGCAGTTAGGAGGAGCCAAGGAGTAGCAGTAGAAAGGCTGCAGAAAGAGTCAGGAGCCTAGAGGAGGTGGCAAAGGAGGTGAGGGGGTGGGGGCAGAAAGTGGAAATGAAAGCAGACAACAGAACATTGCTAGAGATCAGGAAAGGAGGTGAAAGGAGACAATTTTAGAGAAGAAAATGTTTTGGTCGCTACCCGGAATCGAACTCGGGACCTTTGAATGAGAGGCCAACACCTTACCTCTAGGCCACGAGAGCCCCCTTGTTGGATTTTGAAGATCGCACAAACGTATTTTTGTTATTGGTAAGTCAGAGTTTTACTTCACTTGCAGCACATACAGATGCCGAAGATAAGGTGTTACAATAGAGAAACAAGAAGAAAAAAATATAAAAGTATGATAAGAACTGAGTAAACCACACCAAAGCACCCACTAACCACCCACTAAATTCGTTCTCAGGATTGCATCATGTATTATTTTTCATATCACATCTACAGCCACTTTTAACTGAACGCGTGATAACCCCGTAACAGGGCGAGGGCAACACGAAAACTAGGTCACTCAAATGGACCCGGGCCAAGTTACAGCACGTACGTTCACCTGGGCTTGGGCCAAGTCTGAGGGGTTCACTGTCAGGTCAACACACCCACACGAGGGGACTACAGGCTTCCAAACATACAGGCTTCACAGGGATTAAAAACAAAAGTGCAATAATATTA